ATAATACTGATTAGTAGGCAAAATTTTATGGGGTTCATTCGAACTTTCACGCGGATTACGGGACGTCAAATTCACTGCGATGAAAAAAATAGAAAAACGTGAATATCTCGGAAGCTTTGTACGGACACCCGTCCGTATTCATATTTTAATTGATCTCGATAGGTGACACCAAGACGAGTATTTAGAAAAAAAAAAAAACTTGAAATCGGACTAATATTTTAGGAGATATTGAGCAAAACAGTTTTTCACAAAAAGTTGAATTTCTTCTAAACCACTTGTTTGATTTCGCCTACTCACGAACTCATCCTGTAATATCATAAGAGCTACAATCTCACCAAATTTCAATACCCTACCTCAATTTTTTCGGGAGTTATCGGGAATACATCAATTTTATCATAAATATGAAAAATGCCAATTATGTGACAAAATTTCAGATTTATAGCTACAACGTTACTTGTCTTTTTATTGAGATTTATAAAGAATTTCCGAAAAATCTGCACACACATACGAACATGTATACATGCATTTTCGAAAAACATCATATCTTCACGTTTAATGACATTCTACATCATTTCCAAGAAAAATTAGAAGATTGTAAAAATGACTGATTAAACTGAGAGAAAAATCTGAAGTTCGATTTACAATAAGAAAATAGTTGAGGCAGTTTTGGTGAATGATACGATTTTTTTTTGTATGCGGCACATATTTTCGAATTCCTCGAAAAAAAATTTGACCGCCATTACGGGTTGAGCAACGCGACAACACCACACAACAGCTGATCGAGTTCAGTCAAGTCGGTGACGATAATTCAGTGCTAGAAGTATATGGACACGTATAACACACACAAACATTCATCTCACTGCTAAAACCCCACTACTAGCCGAAGCGTGCGATGTTGCCCGATCAAAATTCGACTGTTACCGCCGCAGTCGCAAGTCCTCCATTATTTATGAACATTTTCTTTAATTATTATTGTTCAGACCGGAAATGTACGCTATAACGCTTCTAATTTGATGAGATAAATAATTTGTAACATGAACGATTTATTTAGTCAATTTGATTTTTCTTTTCAACTGACTTGTCCACTTGATAGGTCAACCATCCTCAAACAATTATTTTTTCTAAAAATCGCAGGGGCCAAAATTAGTTGTCGTAACCCAAAAAATTGAAAATTTCTATGCGAAAGCAAAAATTCAGAACTGACCTTGGACTTTTCTTCTGAGAAAAAACAAACACGATGCATTTATCAACATTTTTCAGCGAAACGGAATTTAATACTGAGGAAAAAATCGATATTGTACGGATAGTGCAACCCTCGAAAATTATTGTTCACAAACTGGAATTAACATGGCGAATTAACCCTGAAATATTCAAAAGGTGGTGCCAAACTGAAGTAGTAAAACCCATGTAATTCCCGCCGGTCCTTCCTCATGCGTGAACTCACATGTGTTATCGGGTTTATACATTATGCAGACCTCCACTGACATCTGCGGAAGTAATGCTGATATTTTTATGAATTCAAATCCAATTCTTTCACGGCAGAATTACAGGTACTCACCGGCATTTCCCAATCCCACGATCATTCGTAGACTTTCATCTAACGGTGAGTGAGGGCTTTTCTCTTTTCGAAATATCTTAGGTGTGATCGAACGGTAGAAATTTCGAAACATTCACCTGATAAAACCGGAGGCTCATGTAATTCTCTGTAGAAGGAATGTATTTACAAAACTTTGAAAACTTTCTTTTTTGTTCACAAGTAAATTGATTCAACACGACAAAATCTCTTCAGGGGAACATATAATTTTTCAACAGAACTGATTGTTTCTCTCCATGCAAGTATTGAAATCATTTCTGAAATCATTTCGATAATCACTTGATTTTTAATCTAGCTTACTTGCAAGTCATTGTGTTAATCGTTGATGAAATCAATTTAGTATCTCGTAGAAGTCGGACGAAATCATTGAATTCCGATGACTCACACTGAGAGAAGAAATTAGCTCTGCCGAAAAACTATACGTTCCACGTGTGAATATTTGATGGAGTGGCACAGATTTACTTGAGGGAAATTAACCAACTTGATAGAAGGAAATTTAATATCTTTCACGGAAAATTAAATTTTTGTCGTTATCATCAGAACTATCCCTAGAAGAATTCGAACTGCTGGCAGGAAAAAATATAATCTATTGTACGACAATCATTTGATCTGAGAATTCCATAGGTTTATACCATAGAAAAAATACATTGATGAGAATAAAATATGTTTTCACAAAAAAAAATTGTCCCCTCAAAATTATTTAGTTTTGCCAATAACACAGTTTTCGGTAAGAACATTGTAGTTTCCTCTTGGAATTATCATGTGTTCCACGGAAATTATAAGTATTTATTGGACAAAGATATACACTACTCAATAACATTCACTTGATAAAACCGGGGGGTTTCATATACTTCTCTGTAGAACGAAGGTATTTACCCTAAAGACATAAAGGCATTTGGAAACATTCGTTTTTCTTCACAAGTAAATTGATTCAACACGATAAAAGCTCTCCTCAGGGGAACATATAATTAAATTTTTCTTTCAGACAAAAAATATGACGTGAAAACCTCTTCAAGACTCTGGCTTTTACAGTGAATGAAGAATCCACCTTTCCCCGCAGTTGATTTTGCCCCGCCAACCCCTAATCGTCTGTGATTTCAATCACCACAAATACACATTAATCACTGAAATACTCCGGAATCATGAAATCACCTTTGGTGGCAGCTGTCGTCAGTCCCATCAACCTAATTCCCCACAAACCCGTAAACTTTATCTCCCGGTTCACCTCCCCGAAAATACCCTCCAAATCAATTATTACCGGATGTTAAAAATCGCCTCATCACTCCGTATTTTTCCCAAACGAGACAGCAAGTCATGCTCGTCACTCCGGTGAATCCACGGCAATGACATAATAACCCCCCACTACTGCTATCTCACCGAGTGATGACCGTAGGATACCTCCAATCTACCTCCCCTCCCTGATAAACTCACTGATTAATAAAACCCGCGGCATGTTTATCACGGAACAAATGAAAAACAAGGTATCTCAAAGTAAAATCAATAAATTCCAGTTGAGTCATTGGGTGTCCCGAGGAAAAATTCAAAAAGCCCAAATAATGATTCATCATTGATAGTTTTTCCCGCGAATTCTAACTTCGATGAGTGTAAGAAATTGATCCATCAAATTCTTTCTTGAATTATTTTCTTTTCAACAATAGTCTCTCGTTTGACTATGGTGTTTTTTAATAAATTATTTATTACAAAGGCCTGACCCCGACGACAATTTTCATATTGAGCCGAGAATTTTCATTTATTTTTTCTGAATTTATGAAATTTTTTCTAGATTTTAATCTTCTCCATAAAAGTTTCACTTATTTTGGTACTTGTAGATTAATTATTATCAATAATACTAGACTGTCGATTGAGTACAAACCTAAATAGAATGTTTCTGTTCATATTAACTTTCATTTAGAATTTATTTCCGATTTTGATCTCGAAAATGCAAGATATGTTTATACTACCTTAAATTGAGACAGTTTTGGGATGTGTTTTAGGTGCTTTTGAGATAAAGAAAAATTGTAAAAGATATCGGACCATGAAAATCGCAAGAATGAAATAAGTCAAATAATAATACGATCACTTATTTCGAGCTGTATTCGCTCTGAATTTTTGACTATTTTTTTAAGGTCGAGTCATCTGATCTGGAAATGACGGTCATGTGACGCACAAATTTTCTAGTTAAAAATGAGGGTCATAACTAATTTCTAATTTGTGACATAAATTAACAAAATAGGTTGATCTCTACTCTTCCTTTCTAAAAAAACAGGCAATATCTCGAGCGAATGGAGAAAGCAAGGTGGTTTTCATGAGTCCAATCGTCTTGCGTTGAATTTTCATGAAACCCGCCTAACAAACAAAAGAGAATTGAATACCATTGTATGAAACATGAATGAACGAATCATAATTGTCCGCATCATTTAGGTCAGCGGAAAATAGAATAATTTTACTTTCTTAATATTGCGTTTACTATAAGGTTTTCTTCGAACAAAGTTGATTTGAATTAATAGCTAGAATTATGAGATTATCTCACATTTTTGACGCTGAGGATAGGAGAATCTGAATGTAATATAGTGAAAATGATGATCGATTTTTTCACTTTGAACAAATAATATTAATATCCAAATACAAATTTCTGATATGAATAAAAAGAAACTGTGACTCAATATTCCAAATGAACTTTTAATTTTTAATTTGGTGCTGAAAATACGAGATGACAATATTCTAAGCACGGAATTATATTGATGAGATGAACAACAGATTAATTGAATTACCGTGTGAACTAACTAAAAATTAATAACAGTGTGGGCACGCACTTTTACCAGAGTATCAACAAACATTGAATTCCAGAAATTCACACTCTGAAGTGTGTTCTAGAAGGAATTTAATTGTAATTATGATTACATGTACCCTACTATGCCCCGGTCTCCCCTACATGAAATAGTCCTATTACATGAAATAAATAACTAAAGATGAAAATTGATAAAGAAAAAAGAAAAAATCATCTACACAGACGAAAAATCCCTGTCATTTATCCTTGGAAAATTGTGGCTGTCTTAGAACGGAAGGGGTTTGACAGTGGTCATAAACGCCTCGTCATGTAGCGTATTTGCATCTCAACGATACTAAATTCATCCAACGACAATAAATATCCGTCTAAAATCTCATCTCAAGATAGCCCTAAGATGGTTGTGCTCGCAGTGAACCAGTGAATTCCACCGTAATCTCAAAGTTTCTAACAAGTCACTTCACTTCATTTTGACAACAATCCCGGAGACAGTACACTACATTGCACAGTGTACAACATTGTCTGTAGCCAGAGTCAACTAAACCCAAGTGGCAACACTGCCATTTGCCGCTTATAAGAACGTGCCCCGTATAAGTTGACTCAGTTGAGCCACAGTATCTCGCCTAGTGAACGTTCACCGTTGGATTATTACTTTCGCTTCTCTCGCTCTCTATTACAACTGCAGCGCAGATAAAAATAATAAGGTGTGGTCTTCACTTCAGTCGCCCTACACGTGGCATTATATACCGGCATTATCTTATTATTTTGTATACTTCGTGATGGGGATGGGGCACCCGGGGAATTCTTCACTCTGTTTAATTTTGTGTTATTCCCTGGTTCATGGGCTGCGCGAGTAATAATACTGCAACTGTGATACATCAGATAAGAGATACTCGACATGTCCATTACACTTATTTGGGTCGAGCGCGGTATTTGTGATTATTAGCGCGGTGTTAATGGGGTATTATTCGGGAACATTGGGGAGGGAAAGGCTTTCGGTGAACATTGCTGATGCGTCTCGGGGATAATTGAATTATTTCGCGAGTGATTTTGATTGATTGCCATATTCAATGTTAAATATTTTTAGACGAAATTTGCGATATATTTTTTTAATTCCATCAATGAGTCCTATTGAAATTTCGAGGAATTTCAGCAGTGAGAATTCAAAATTTTATGCAAAAATCACTGAGCATTGTGAATTTCAGTTTAATAATTCCGTAAAAATTAAGAGAAATCAAGAAAATTCAGGTGAATGTATTTTTAAATTTTCAATTAACAAATTTTTGAAGAAAAAACAAGAAATAATTTTCTCAAAATTTGAAAAAAATTAATTTCCTCTGCGCAGTATTTCTATTTGTTTAATACCCATTTACTAGTCATTTGTAGTTCTTTCTATTCATTAAGATCATTACAACGTCATTACGAATTAAATACATTTCCCAATCATCTTATCAGTTTAAAAAATCTCCTCCAACAAATACCGATATTGTCCCAGCAGTAATTAAAAGACGAATAGATTTTGTATCGAGAGATTATCCAATCAGCCCGAATATAATTCCCTAAAGAGGGATTATTATCGACGGAATATCCGCAGAATCAGTAGCACAGGGCTCTCGGGCAACTGGGAAGCCAAGTATTATAAAATCCATAGCTCACGGATTCAAACTGACGGGGAATTAACGAACCCACCTCGATTCTCCAAAGAGAATCGACATGTACCCGACAAAGCCGTATAACAATCCCCTCGTTTCTCCGGGTACAATGAATTTCTCGCTTTCTACAAATTTTCTTTTGTCCACATTTTGATTTTTCGTAAAAAAGTTGATGAACAGAAATACCTAGGTATCCCTCGGTGTTCTATATAATGCCCCATGCAAGCATCCATGTGAATGCAAATGAGATTGTAAGTCATTCATGCGTATGCCCAGTCAAATCATAATACCACATTACTTCATGAAATGATGATAATGAAATGGGAATTTCAATACTGTGAGAAAGGCGGAATGAAAATCACAGCCAATGAGTACTAAAATTAATAAACTCAGGGATTAAATATGCTGATTGGGTATAAATCATGGATGTTTGATTATTATCATGTGAAACGCGCCAAACATTTAGTTTCACTGCTATCTGACAAAATCAATTATTTACAGAATTTAAAAATGACCATTGATTTCTATTACGTTCCTGGAAGTGCACCATGCAGAGCTGTGAGACTAGCTGCTGCTGCTGTTGGCGTTAATTTGAATCTCAAATTGATGGATCTAAAGAACGGTGAACACCTTAAACCGGAATTTGTCAAGGTGAGGAATGAGAAAAAAATTGCAGATTTTGCATTATCATGGTTGTTATCTCATTTATGGGTTTAATTCCATGTGATTTGACCTTCACGCTTGACCTGTAGTTGAACCCATCCCATTAACCCGCTGTTTGAAGGTTTATGAAAAGAGTAAGTTGACCCTTCAGCTTGACCCGCAATTTCACTTAAACCATAGGTCAAATAGATTTCTTGGTGTAAACTATTCTCTGGTCAAATTGACCTTTTATGTTGACCCATGAATTTGACCCATGTGAAGGTCAATGCAGAGTATCAAATTAAACTTTAGTTTGGCCCACATTATATAGCGAGAGAAAATTGTAGATCTTCGTTTTATAATGATTGTTATTTCATTTTTCTATCGCTAGTTTGATCCTTGATTTGGATCATACGATTTGACCTTCAGATAATTTATGTCAGATTTGTGTTGACCCTTCAGTTATCTTACCCATGTAAAGGTCAATTTCACCTTTTAATTTAATGCCTATCAAGGTCAAGGTCACCCTTTAGAAGGTTTATGTAAAGATTAAGTTGACCCTTCAGTTTGATTCATAGTTTCATTTAATTCATATTGAGGTCAAGTAGATTTTTTGATGTAAACCATTCTCGGGTCAAATTTACTTTTTTTATTGACCCATGTCGAGATCAAGTTGAGATGAATTTAACCTATAGCACAGTCAAGTTGGCCCATAAAATTGACCCATAAATTGGACCCATATGAAGGTCAAGTTGACCTATAATTTAATTCATACCAAGGTGAAGATAACCCATTCCTATTGACCCATAGCAAGGTCAAGTTGACCTATCAAATTTGTTATCGGTCAAAATTCACTCACACGAATTAACCCTTGAATATATTCTTCGTGTAATTTGTTGAAACCTAATTGTTCATCTAGATTAATAATTTTTGGAATTGCAATTTAACAGCGCAACCCTCAGCACACAGTACCAACCATCAACGACAATGGCTTCGTACTCTGGGAGAGGTGAGCTAAACTCCAAATACCTTTTACCCGACAATTAAATTAATTCCACGAAATATTCACCTGCAATATTCCTCTCAGTCGTGCTATCATGGGCTACCTAGTGGATCAATACGCCAAGAACGACTCGCTTTATCCGAAGGAACCGAAAGCCCGCGCCCTCGTCAATCAGCGACTCTTCTTTGACCAGGGCAACCTCTACGCTAGCCTTGCCGATTATTACGTAAGTATTCCTATTCGCTTCAACAGATGAACTCCTCTCACAAATTCACCCCGAAACTTTACCGAGTCTTACGTGATAAACAGAACGGGCACAAAATCCCTTTGTTGGGTTCAAGTATCCGTGAACGGTTCTATTGAATCACGGAGAAACAATGCAAATCGGGAAATTTCCCTTAAATCTTGTGAATACATGCTTTATTCATAATTTATTAAGAAATGAAAAAATTCATTTCTTCATAATGAACGGATTTTTTTTTGAAGGTTGAATGACAAAGATGTGTGGGATGATAAAAAGGGTCAAACGTTTTCACAACCCTATAATCCTAAAAACCTTGAAGGGTCAAATTGATCCTTCAGTTTGACCCATATTTTCATTTAACCCAGTGGACCTTTTGGTGTAAACCACTTTTAGGTTAAATTGACCGTTTGTATTGACCAATATCAGAGTCAAGTTTACCCATGAATTTGACCCATATGAGGGTCAAGTTGACCCATGAATTTAATGCATTTCAGGGGCAAGTTGGTCCATAAATTTGACCCACATGAGGGTCAAATTGACCCATAAATTTGACACATATTGGGGTAAAGTTGACTCATAAATTTGACCTATAACAGAGTCAAGTTGACCCATAAATTATACTCACATCAGTGTCAAATTGATCCATCAATTTTGACTTGACTTGTGCAATAATTTTTCTCTAACGTTTTTCTCTCCGTACCAGTGTCTCCCGCCATACCCTCATAACCAATAAATCGTCCCACTATCACCACGGATTTTCATTACCGAATACAGTTGAATCCTTGAATCCCATCTCACTGAGATTAGATAACCCAGATACACGTGACTACCGGTCCCAAAGGACCAAATACGTTTGTAATCATGTGTTAAGTAATTCGTTGAAATTCAGTAGTGCATGCTCGGATAGTTGCGAAACAATACTCACTTATTGTCCATTATCAGCTATTGGAATTGGGTAAATGTTTCAGTAAAGTTTGTGTACGTCCAGCATTACGTTATCATCCTCATACTCCGGTCGTTCGTTTTATCGCATACAGTTGTCCTCATACCTAGAAATAACCGCAGTAAATTTATTAATAAAAATTAATTTCCAATAGTACCCAATATTATTCGCGGGTGCCCCAGCAGACCCAGCCAAATTCGAGAAAATCGCTGGAGTCCTGGGTTTCCTCGACAAATTTCTCGAAGGCCAGAAGTATGTAGCAGGAAAGAACTTGACAATTGCTGATCTCACCATAATCGCCACCATAACAACTTTCGAGGTAAAAGAAACCGTTTGAAATGAGAGTGAAATCCTATTAAAATCGGAAAAATTAATTAAATACCTTTGCAGGCACTGTCATACGACATAACGCCATTCAAGAATATCACTAGGTGGGCAGCGGAAATTAAAGCTGAAGCACCCAAGTATCAGGAGGCAAATGCCGATGGAGTTGAGGCATTCAAAGAGCTGGTTGCTAATTTCTCAAAGAAATGAGAGAATTTTATTAATTACGTCTCCAGTGTTTTGTTAACTCTTGTACCCCTTCTTTTGGTGGACTCTTCCATTCATCTTGTCTCGTTTAATTCATCAAACTGAGATGGTGCTCTAGGTAGTCGGAGTATCTCCGGATGATTTTTCACTCGCACAAATTAAATTTTATTGCACGGAGTTCATCTCTGTGAGTTTATTATTTCGAGTGGATTATGGTTGATTAATAAATGTTCAGAAGTTATTACTTGAATTTATTTGTTTTTTTTAAACATTTGTGAGGGAGAAGATGAGAAATGAAGTGAGAGGGGAGAATGGAAATGTTTGGGTGGAGCTGAGAATTACAGCGTGTGGATCAAACTAAGGACCAACTTGACCCTTATTTTTACCCAGACGATTGGGCGTTTATGGGTTAAATTTGGGGTCAAATCGTATGGACCAAAAATGAGGGTCAATTTGACCTGCATGTTTACCTATTCAATTTACTCAATTTCACCCATAAAGGTCATCTAGGAGTCAACTTGACCCTCACTTTTACCCACACGATTTGACCTTTATGGGTTAAATTGAGAGTCAAATCGTATGGGTTAAAATGAGGGTCAAGAAAAGGTCAACTAGGGGTCAATTGAACCCTGATTTTGACCCATACAATTTGACTCTCAGTTTAACCCATAAAGGTCAAGTCGTGCGGGTAAAAGTGAAGGTCAAGTTGACCCCTGATTTGACCTCCATATTTAGCCATACTTGAACAAATGGACTTGTTGTACTTGTTACTGATCATGTGAATAATTTATCAAGGAAATGATAATAGAGGAAGTAAGGAAGATAGGAAAAATAAAATTGTTTAGGTAGAGCTGAAGATTAATTTGACCCACACAAAGATGAAGCAATACATAATCAAGTGGACCATTCAGTCCAACTCATATGGGTCCCAACCAAAAGAGTCAACTTGATGCACAGTATGAAGAATACAATTTTTTTTCGTATGAACCAAATCGAGGGCCAAGATTCTTAAATTAACCAATACCATTCAACCCTCAGCCTTTTCCACACTACCTCTCCCAAATTATTGTTTTCGGGATTTCAGCGTGCCCTGAAATTCATTCTCCCTCGCTTTCAGCTATTCCTCGAGGATCCAGTGTATGATGGATAATTACAGATCTACAATTTTTTTACCATAAAATCAAGATACTCCGGAAAACTTTGCCTCATTTAGTGCCACAAGTGACATCATATATTCCCGAAGTTCCTTCTTGTCGCGGAGGAAACTTCGTCAAACTCCTCAAATCTCGTCATCTCTACGCGTCGAGTTATAATGGTTCTTACTCGTTACCACCCATCTTCAATAGCTACATAATGAGGATGACGGATGAGAGTTTATATCGATTTCATCTCCATCATTTTCGTTTTCCGGAAATTTCCGAGTCCTTTAATTTCACATTCATGGTGGATCAATCATTGTAACGATGAATGGACAATGAATACCCGAAACTGGTCTGGATCCACTAAAAACCAACAGTGATCAAGCGTATGTGTATATCAAGTTAACATGACAATTGAATTTGCCTTTATGCAAGCTGCCAATTCGTGGATACAATGGTTCTTCGGATGTACGAGAATATTGTGGCCAAAGTGTGCGCGTTCAAATGGAAAATCTAATAGTTAGTGGACCAACCACTGCAGGAGGGAGTTTATACAACCGACGAACGTCATTATAATCGGTATATGCTTGAAATGGCAATGGTCTAACGATTATTGTCCGGGCTTTTAATGGCATGGAACTATCAAATTGACGGTCACTGTTGGTATTACTTGGAAATAGCCTTTTACAATTACGAAAATATTTGGTTTGAAGCGTAAATGATTTATCGATTTCCAATATTCGGGAGGGTTTTACGTCATTGGGATTGCACAACATTGAGGAGCGTACACATTTTTTTTTCTATTAGGATTTATAATATTACTCGCTCCGTTCATGAATCCCCATATGATCCCCATATGACTGTCATGATCCTTACTCTGACCCTTGTGACCCTTATACTGACCCTCATTGTACCCTTCGTGACCGGTATTTTGACCCTGGTGACCCTTAATTTAATCCTTGCGACCCTTACTTAGACCCTTAATTTAGTCCTTGTTACCCTTGTTTGGACCCCAAGTTTCTGACCCCCGTGACCCTTATTTGAACCCTTAATGACTTGTGATTGTTAATCTGACCCTTGTGACCTTTATTTTGATCCTTCATGTGACCCTTACGATAATCCTAGTAACTCTTAATCTTACCCTTGTGACGCTTATTCTGCCCCTTATTCTTATTTTGGATTTTTCATTTGAAATTTTTATCACGAGAAGTCTATTTGGATTTTTATAATATAATAGTTCTATGCAAAATGTAATTTCATTGGCGCTAAATATTCGTGATTTTAAAAAACATTTTATCACGATATTTAATTGGCAAATTACCAAATTGTAAAAGATACTTGGATATCATTAAGGATATTTAAGTATTTCGGATATTTCTTCTCCACTGAAACGCTTTTTTACTTGTATAGCCCAACCTTACAGCTTTCATTTCAGCCCCAAATATCCGGATATTTTACAATGATTTTATTATTTAAACTTTGCAGATCTGAATTTTAATCTCGATATTGAACCGTTAGAAAACATTTTAAAAATCTGAAAAAAAAATTGGAAAACTTCCTCTTGAAGGAAGATTGATAAAATAATTTAAACAATTTCAATTTTTGAAAATTACGGGCATTTTCTATAAGTAATGCATAAACAATCAAATTTCCATCATAAAAATTATTTGTTCGTTATCGTAAAAAAATTATTCCTGTACAGAATTAAATACCTCCAAATAACCAAAAAATAAAAAATCCATCCCCCGCACTCTCTTATAATCACCCAACATTGCCGATACTTTCGCACTGTGTTAGGTCAATTGATTAACCCTCGGGTCGATGTCATTATCCCTCAACCTTACCTCAAATATCCCCGGTACACACAATCCATCCAAAGTCAATACCGATAATGATTCCAGCCGATAATACCACCCACTCCTCCCCACCCCTCACAATCAATTGACGAAAAAACTCGTGAAAAATAAATCCCAAACAAACCCCAATCCCATTTTTCATTTTCCCTCATCAAGACCACGGAGAAGGTCACCAGGAGGTCATGAAAATCAATTCCCTCCCCAATCACTCACTCGTTTCTCCCCCTCCTCAGGGGTCTTCCGAATTCTCCTCATAATTTCCAACAAAGTTTATTCACCTTTTTTGTCAAATTACGCCAGTGAAAACTGTTTACCCGAAACGAAGACAGAAACAGACACGTGAAATTTTTTTTACGTCGACACGGGGTGAATAGACAATCCGATAAGGCGAAAATCTTGTATACAAGCGGGGAAAAAATGAGAGGAAAACGGTGTCCGGGGGGGGGGCGATTGAGGGAATCGTGTGCAGGTGGATTGGAAACTTTGCGAGCGGAGGGAAATGGCGTATGTGTACATTCGAGTTCAGTTTCAAGGAAATATACATATCGATTGATGTGCACTAGACCCGGTGGCACACTGCCTGCTCGAACGGTTTCTAGACGCGAAAAGGTGACAGTGCGTGACAGACGTCTCCGCTCTGTGACTCAATTCGGCATTGAGACTCGATAGATTAGCTCGAGGTACCATGTCCATTGATTTCTATTATCTCCCATTCAGTCCACCCTGTCGCGCTGTGATGCTAACGGCTGAGGCTATTGGACTCCCTCTCAATTACAAGAATCTTGATATTCTCACTGGTGAACATCTGACTCCGGAGTATGAGCAAGTAAAGTGGTGTCTTTTTTTGGGGAAGGGGAGGGGGCTATTTACAGTTATGGAGGGGTCATTAGAATTATAAATGAATCGATTTAAGGATATCCAAGCACACAGACCGAAAAAATTAATTTTATCAAGAGAATTTTATTTGAATCAACTATCATTTGATTGTTAATTTTCAAATAAACATGATTTTCTACCGGTTATCTCTTCTTGAGATACATTTGATTGGGAGAAATCGCACTTCTGTAGAATTAAAGTTCCTTTTATTTGCCGCAATAATGAGAGTATTTGATTTCTGTCTAACCAAAAGGTTGCTAACTCCAGAAATTCGTTGGTTTACTCAAACATCAAAATTATTCTCGTGACTGAATACGCTGTTATCTCAATTAACACGATCGTACGTTGTTCCAAGGAAATTATAATTCAAGTGAGCATTTCGTATGTCGAATCAGGATGAATATTGTTACGTGGAAACAGCTTTGAGATTGCAGTAAGATGTCGTTGAGTTGAAAGAAGTTTATAGTTCTTGACTAAAAAAAATCGCATTAGTTTCCAATAACAGAATCACAGATTACGGAAATGCAACACAAATTTGGATATCACAAATTGCGTTCAATGCGATGTACGGAAAGCTCAATTTAAATACCGGCTTCATTCGAGAAAACAACATTCAATTCATTCCTCAATCTAATCATCTCCTAGGTACGAATTTTTGATAAATTCACGAAAGTAGAAAATTTCTCGACTGGAGATTATATTAGGTTAAAAAAAATAAAAGTTTTCCATTTTTGTGGTGAATACATGTGTCGTGACGCCAAGGACTGTTTTATTTGATTCAAGTAAATGTATCTCAAGAAGAAATGATTGATTTTCACCGTATGATCTTATTTATTTGAAATTGGTTCAAGTATATAATACTTGTTCCAAGAAAGAAACATCTCCATCATCTCAGGCAAAAAAAATTACAATGCCAGAGAGTACAATCAGAATTATCATGAGAAACAAAATCTATTATCAGTAACTACAACTGTACGTAATTCAGTTCAAATCAAGTGTGAAATTGCCATCTGCGACAGTTGTAATCAGTACAACCATTCCCATAATCGTTGCATTTCATAATCTTGACGTCTCTCAAATGTTAATAGCCCCTCAAGTTAGTACCTCTCGTCCATAACGAGTGGATCTGCCCCTAATTTTCATCCGCAATTTCAGATGAATCCACAGAGGACCATTCCCTTTATCGTTGATGAGGATTACAAATTGAGTGAGAGGTAGGGAACGAGGCTTTCTGACGGAAGCCCTTTATTGACGCACGTCATGATTGAAATTTTTTCGTGGGTTTTCTCGCAGTCGGGCGATTATGTGCTACCTCGTGGATCAGTATGGCGGGGATTCGGGACTGTATCCGACTGGGGCCAGCGAACGTGCTGTTGTCCAACATCGGCTGCAGTTTGATGTGGGAAGTCTCTACAAATGCATCGCGGCTTATTACGTGAGTTTCGTAATGGCTGCGCGCTTGAAATTTTCAGGATCAACATTCGTCATCGACAATTCCATCTGTCGCGAATTTTCCAACAAAATCAGGGGTTTCAATGTTGAATTCTGTTTCGATGTACCATTAACTGCTCTAGTACGGCGTCCACATGCCGTATGGACCATTTCCGTAATTAGTAAAAATTCATTACCTTTCGTATTATTGTAGATATCGAAATTCCAAAAATTTCCCCATGAAGCAGATAAAATTATCAACACAATACGACTCGATTTTTTTTCAAGTTAATTATTTAATATTTTTCTTTAATACATAACATTACGGAACTGAATTCGATGTCGGATGCATATTCAAAGCTCTCGTTTACCGAGATAATTTTTATCACAAATTCTGAAATTTTTACCAAATATACTCTATACATTCCTTTGTCGAATGGAATGAAAAATTCCAGGAAAATCTGTATAAAGGAATCCCATAATTGAACAATTTTTTGGTGAACGCTTAAGATTATTATTAAATTTGAGTTCATAATTTTTGGATCATCACTGTAGAAGTTATCGCGTATTGAACAGCGAATTTGAGTTGAATTCTTAAGATTTTCCTCATGTTTCTCATAAATAATGTTTATAATATTCCCCGACTATTAAAGAAAATTCTAATACTGGCTTAGGAGATAATAAATAATGAAATTCGGGCTTGTGGCACGCATTTAATGGTTCAAAAATTTACGTTGAACTGTTCTGAACACTCGCCACTTGTTTGTCAAAATCAAACTATTTTGACCTCACCAAGCCGTAAACTACCGCAGTTAAGTGTCCGCGTTCAATAAATTGGAACACTCACATAACTGGCATTCGTTGATCGAAATATACTCCACCAAATGGCTGCCTTCGAAACTCAAATTTAATTGCAACCGGAGAAAGTAATGAATCCTAACTTTGCAGTATCCAGTTGTATTCCGGGGAGAGACTGAGTACAATGAGCCGAACTATGAGAAATTGAAGGAAGCATTTAAAATTCTTGACAAATTGCTGGAGGGGAATGAGTGGGCTGCTGGCAGTGACATGACTATTGCCGATCTTTCGTTGGTATCAAGTGTCACAACTGCCGAAGTATGATCCTTGAACCTTGGTTTAGTTTAGTTTGTATCAGGGGCCTCGGAAGGGGTATGAAATTCGAGATATTATTTGGTTAGCTTGGCTTCAAATGCCATTTGGTTTCTGTAGAAATCCATCTTCAAACCGTTCCGCTGCCCCTCAACGTCAATTTACTAATTAGCGCATTGAACTATTAAAAAAAATCTAAATTTCATGGACTCTTGATTAGTAATTTTCTGAAGAGTGATATTCAACTTGATTTGAGAAGAAAAATGGTGAAATTTCAAAGAAATTCTAAATTGTTTAGCAGTAGAAAGACAATAATTCCTGATTTATTATCATTTTCAATTAAACATGCATATCTAGTTCTAAATTTCTCTGAATTTTCCTGATTTTTATTAATCCCCAGAATGATGGCACTGAATTTCACAGTCTCCTTTTATTTTTCCATGAAATTTAGAATTTCTAATGTCGAAATTTCCGGGACAATTGAGGAATAATTTTCAGGAGTGACATTGAATTCGATTTAAGATGAAAAAATCCGGAAATTTCAAAGAAATTGCAAATTTTTTTACAATATAAAAAAATCAAAATTCCCAAATTACCAAATTTCTCTGAATTTACCTGACTTCTATTAATTTTCCCAGAATAATAGAACTAAAATTCACATTTTCCCTCGAATTTTCCGTAAAATTTACCATTTTTAATACCGAAATCCCTTGAGATTTCGCAACATAAAGAAAGTTTCATATTAAATAGAATGATTTGTGACTCTAATCTCTAAAATTTATACTTCTCGACGAAAAAATCTTGGAAATTGAAAGAAATTCCAAAGTGTTTAGCAGCAGACAGCTGAGACATCCCAAATTGACTTAAATTCCCAACCAAATATGAATATTCAATATCAAATTGTGCTGAATTTTCCATTAAATAAAAATTCAAGAACAAATCAGTAGTGAAGTGGTAAACGGAGATAAGTCGACTCATCTCCCAGTTGAGTTTTTGAGGAATATTTCCAAATCTAAGGGAGATATTCATTAAAAACTAGCCAATAGTCAAAATTGTCTTATCTCCTTTTACCACTTCGCTACTGAAATATACCCGAATTTTTGTAAATATTCTGTCACTAAAAAACCAATGATTCTTAAACACGAAAAACCCAATTTCCTTAAATTTTTAAGATGTATGAGAAATTTTGTGAACGCATTCACCTGAAATTGAATTCAAACTCACAAAATCGAAAATTCAGATGTCACTGTGACTGAAATTGTCGAGAAATCTCTAACAGTGTAAAATATACAATTTTCAATGCCAAAATTCCTCGAAACATCCCTGCAACCACAATCCAATACAAAAATTCAAGAAGTGCACCGAGAATGTCATCCAAAAGTCCTCGACAGCGCCCTTAATACGATCATTTACCCCCCAGGCCTTTGGATTTGATCTCGCGGACTACAGTAATGTAGCTGACTGGCTGGAAAGAGTAAAGAGTACAGCACCTGGTTACGATACTGCCAATGCCGAGGGCGTTGAAACACTTAAAAAAATAACGGGCGATACGAGTGCGGAATGAAATACCACTGACCTCGAACGTATCACTCCCCCATTTTCCCTTAATGCTTCTTCTCACAATAGTACAAGCACTGATCAATACCGCCTTTAATGTTCCTCGAGTTCCCCCTCCGTATTTCCAATTGATAATAACATCAATTGGTGAATCTGTAAACATTGAAGGTAATTCGATGCAAATTGATGATGTAAACAGCGGGCTAATGCTGATCAATCCGCATGTTTCTCTGTATTCAACATTTATGCTTGTACGGCTGGGTTATTTAGCACCGAATAAATAGCATTGCTAATTGAGCTGTCCTCTGTGAATTTTCTATCCCCTTGTTAACGGCTGAATTCGAATGAGGGTGCGCGGATTGATTGGGGATGAGAGGGCAACATGATATCGGGATTATTGGCGTGCGGTAATGCAGGGTTGTGTACCGTATTATGATAAGAATATTCAACGAATGTGTTATCAGCGGTAGGTTAGTTCTTCGTTATCTAGAGATTTCTGTCTTATCGTCGGTCGGCAATAGACCGTCGAGTCAAAAACCGAGCGGTCTGTCTGTCAGGGATTGCTGGTTGAGGTTAAAAATTCTACCGCAACGGAGGAAGTGAAATGAAACTGATTGTTCCGTTTTAAAACAGAATATTCAGCTTTACTTTACTGAAATTTGTCGATTCTTCAAATCTATCATTTAAACTGATCAATGGACAATTTTTATGAAACTGTAACATTTGAGTATTTTCCGGGTTTACGGTTTGTAGACCCTTTCCGTGATTAATCAAAATTTTACTATCTTTCGTACTATTGTAGATATCGAAATTCTAAAAATTCCCTCACGAAACAGTTAAAATTATCAACGCAATGCGACAGATTTTTTTGTCAAGTTATTTTTAATGTTTTTCGTCAATACATAATGCCGAGATAAACATTACGGAATGGAATTCGATGTCGGATGCATATTCAAAACTCTCGTTTATCGAGATAATTTTTATCAAACATTTGGAAATTTTTAACGAACGTACTTTATACATTCCTTTGGCGAAAGGCGTAAACGAAATTTCGATCCAATGAATTACTGATTTGTTATTAACAAATTTCTGGCAATCGCCGATCTTGGCAACCCCTTGTGCTATCGAACTGAGATTGATCTTAAAAATTCCAGAAAAATATGTTTAAAGGAATACCGTAATGGAACAAATTTTTTATGGAAGCTCAAGATTATCATTAAATCTAAGTTCATAATTTTTTGATCATCAGTATAGAAGTTATTGCGTATTGAACAACGAATTCGAGTTGAGTTCCTGTCTTCAAATTTTCAGTATAATTCCCAAAATAACGTCAAACACTTTTACAAAATTGAATGAAGAAATTCTAGATTACTCACAGTGACACCCTCAGGCATCGCGATTCCTCGCGGCAACATCTCCCAGATCCCTGAGACTCCGGGATAATTTTATGTGTCGGCACGTCCCGTGTGAAAATCCACGAGAAGGATGTATTATGCAGGTGAGAAGCCTCAAGGTGTTCCACCCGCACTCTCTGTCCCATTTAGCATTGTCATACTCCAGTTTACATACGGAATTTTCAACGATTGTCGCATTTGATATTTGATATTGAGCCGGGTAAATGTGGTCCCTCGAGCCAGGTGCTCGGAGATTTATCACGGAATATAAATCTCGAGTTCTCCAACGAGGTCAATGAGGATTTTCTCGTCTCCCATGCATCTGCATTTCTGAAAATTTCTATCAAATGCACATCAGCAATTAGTATAGTAACGTTCAAATTCAGTAATCGCTTGCTGAATCTCGATCCATTGTTCCATTTTTCATTGAATACCAAAATAATAAACAATAGATGATTCTGAACCGAAATTATTTCAGTGAGAAACATTCATTTTTCGTTTATGCTTCTGAATGGAAGCATTGCAATCGTTCGATTTTCACATTTTCTAATTTTGCTCGGAAATGATGCAGAATGGTCTGAAACGTAAAAATACGAAGTTTGGGGACCATGTCTGTGCGTGACACTGTCCAGTCGGTGGTAATTTTTTCGTAAATTTGATAATTAAACGGGAAAAATCATTCTAAAAAGTTTGAAATTTTTTCAGTTAATTGGTATAACTGGAGACTAACTCCATGCCAAACTTCAGCTTGATCCGTCCATTAGTTTTTGAGCAATATCCATTCGTTTTTTAACCTTTTCTCACAAATATCTCGGAAAATATCCAACCGATTTCAATAATTTTTTCTTCAAAATATTCGGCATGATGTCCTCTATCTAAATCCATCAAAACATATATAGCCGTTCATACAAAGTTTTTGAAATATTTGGATTTTTCTGTTTTTGACTTGAAATCCTTGTTCGCGCTCTAACTTGAGTAAAAATTGATATATCGACTTGAAATTTGGCACGAAGCTGTCTCTGATGATTGCAAGGACCGGTATGGAAGATGGGCTTACTCGGTCAATTAGTTTCGGAGATATTCAACTTTGTATGTAAACTTAATGTCTTGAATATCTCAATAACGAATCAACCGATTTCAATGATTTTTTTTTTATATTCGGCTTGATGTCCTCTATCTCGATCAATCAAAATATATATACCCGTTCATAAAAAGTTTTTGAGATATTTAGATTTTTCTGTTTTTGACTTGAAATCCTTGTTCGCGCTCTAACTTGAATAAAAATCGAGATATTCGAGATATAAACGAATCCATTCGGAAGCCTGCAATCAATATCTTGATGGCGAGAAAAGAACAGACGTCCTTCTCAGCAGAATATGTACAGCCGCATGGCTGCAATCGCCTACTTGTTTCTCCTGAAATTCTTCCTCCGTTATTTTATTTCGCGGAGTGACACTGTAGAATTCAGATACGAAAATTTTATATGCTGTCACGTGTCGTGAGTGAATCCATTAGAGAGGATTTTATGCGGACAAGTGGTCTGAATTAATTCAAATGGTTTGTTTGTCGCTTCTGGAAATTACGTGGAAAATTGGATGACTTCTACAGTTTTTGAAATTTAACATTTCACGGTGACTCATCATACACTGGCATTGATAAGTAATAAACAAGGTTTATTATTCGATATTGTCTATTATGAATGTCTTCTTCCAATATTATTTACCCTCTCTTTTGAAATGATTTCTCTCCGGTTACTTCCAACTTTATTTAATTAGAATAAATAAATTGACATCTGATGGATTATACTTTAAATGAATATACTCACAAAATCGACCGTCTGTAAAATCCCAATAATTCGATAATTCCACGTAACTTATATCTTGTCGACGAGATATCAATGAATTAATCAGCCTAATTGTTCTTTTCAATCACAGGGGAATAAAACCGTTGATGGCTATCGCGGGATTATATGGTAGGGATTATCTCCTGGACTTGAGGCTATAGCAATGGTTAAACTTGATTATCTCTTGTTAAATCTCGATCTATTGTTCCATTTTTCAGTGAATACCAAAATAATAAACAAAACTGAATACATAAAGATTGATCAGTGCAGCCTCGATATGATTCTGAACCAAAATTATTTCAGTGAGAATTATTCATTTTTCGTTTTTTCTCCTGAAATTTTTCCTCTGTTATTTGATTTCCCGCAGACACTGTAGAATTCAGATATGAAAATTTTATATGCTGTCACGTACCGTGAGTGGCTCCATTAGAGGGAATTTTATGTGGACAAGTGGTCTGAAGTAATTCAAACATTTTGTTCGTCGCCTCCAGAAATTAAGTGGAAAATCGGGTGAATTCTACAGTTTTTGGAATTCAAAAGTCCACGGCGACTCATTATACACTGTAATTGATGAAAAGGTTTATTATACGATCGTGTCAGTCTTCACTCTTCAGAATTTATTGTCAATTTATTTATCCTCTCTGTTGAAATGATGTCAGGTTATTTCCCTGAGATTATTTTATTTAACTTCATTTAATAAATCAATATCTGATGGATTTTATTATTCTTTAATTGAATACATTCACAAAATCGATCGTCTGTAAACTTCAAATAATTCGATAATTCGACCCAACTTATTTCTTTTCAATGGGATATCGATGAATTAATCAACATGGTGTTCTGTTTCAAGCACATGGGAATAAAACCCTTGATCGATGGGGAAATTATGCGGTGGGGATTATCCCCAGGGCTTTAGGCCGGTCAGCAGACGAAGGAACTACCAGTCTTTGACCGCTGCCCGGGCTAACCCAATCCCTTCCGTTACTACTTCAGACAAAACGTGGGTGGCTTCGCACATCTAATGCTCATTTTCCGTTCATGTTTCTCTGTCTTATTTTATTATGAAAAACGTCACGTCATGGAGACTTCTTCTCATTGTCCTCAAAAAATTGAAATTTTTATTCAATCATCTCTTCACTGTTTCTCATCAGGGTCAGATATGAGAATGCGGTGCTCAGCATCTGAAATCAAACGAATGCATCAATGACTCACGAGACTAATCTCTTAATTTCTTCGTTCGTATAGTATCGATCTCAATTACTGATTTGAATGTATTGAGAGTCACAGGAAAAAACCCGAAAGCTGTCAATCTGCACGGACTCTGGGCCCTCATGATGACCATCTGCAAATCTCGAACGATGGCTCGACCTTCCTTACAACGAATTTTAGTATTCCACTTTGAATGCCAAGGCCCTTCACCAACATCCAAACTCGCCAGGGTCAAGTTATTGCATGTGAAGGCGAATGTGAATAGTTGCGTGAAGCATCCGCCAAAGTATACAACAAAGAGGATGCGTCTCATTGTAGAGTTTCCGGGCTGAAAAACGCAATGCCATTAGCTCCAAAGGGCAAGGAATGTTCTTTAAAAATAATTATTATCACCGACAAGAAAAACTTCTCGATTAAATCTGGAGCCTTCACTTGATCTGAGTAGGATTGTATCAAGTCGACGATCTTGAATGGATTCTATGGATTTCTATCTGGTATCGCCAAAAAATGTCTAGCCGTGTTGATGAGTTGATTCAAGTTTGAAAGATATTTGGGTCAAGTATCTTTCCTACTTGAATCAAGTATTTCTCCTACTCGAATAAAGTATCTTTTCGTCTTGAATTAAGTATCTTTTCTCCTTGAATCCAGTAGCTTTCCCACTTGAATCAAGTATCTCTTCTACTTCAATAAAGTATCTTTCCGACTTGAATCAAATATTTTTCCTACTTAAATAAAGTATTTTTTCTACTTGATTCAAGCATCATTCCTACGTAAATCAAGTATCTTTTCTACTTAAGTAAAGTATCTGTCTTGATCGAAACAAGTATCTCTCGTACTTGAATCAAGTCCCGATATACTTGAATCAAGAAATTTTTTTCTTTCGGTTGATGGAAGGAATCTGTGGGGAATACCAGTATGAGTTGATATCCAACCAGGCAAATGAGAAAACTAAAGACAAGTACTTGGAGAAGATTTATGAACGAGTATATGTCCTCCACTTGGTCAACGAGATCAATCAGCATCTGATGCTGCTTGACGCAGTTTTTCAATTCACGAGCAATTCTCCCCAGTCCTCTACTCCTCGCCACACACCATCTCTTGATTCCATTGCCGTCCTTCGGGTCGAGGGTGTGCACGTCAAAGAGTGTCTCCAGTCTGTTCTTCACGATTTTAAACTGCCCAGTTATGAATATGTTGGTGAGGGCTAGGTAATTGTCGAAGCAGAAGTAACAAATTGATGTGTGATAGCAGCTCAGTACCTGCGAAGGATTATTTATTCCACATCTGTAATTATTTTAAATCAATAATTTGTGGAATGGTTCGATTTGAATAATATCAACATGTAATATGTAAATGTTTAGTAGAGATTCGTAGCATTTTCTCTGAGAAATTCTATTGAATTTCTATCGAAAAATTGTTACTTATTAAACATTTCTATTTGTTAAAAAACGAATACAATTGTTTAATAAATTTCAAATGGAACTCCGGAACAATTCTTACAGATTTCCAATAGAAATGCAATGAAATTTCGCCAAGAAAGCACTAGGTTTTTCTAATAAATTCCTTTCGTTCGCGAATATTTAAATAATGAATAATATTCACCTGTATGGCAAAAGCTATTTCGAACCAGGGAGATATGTATATTGGCAGATCCACCCAAAACGTGAATGGAAAAAGTCTATCAGTCTCATTCTTCCCGATATTAACTGGAATAAACAATACAAAAATTTCAGATTTCCCGGCAAATTCAATGAATTTTAAAATTTCTTATCATTACAAGAACGAAAATTACTCGACTCTCTAAATTTCTCAATTAATGAAGAATTCAATAATATATTTACCTGAATTTTCCGGATTTCTATCAATTTTCATAGAATAATTGAACTAAAATTTCTAGTTTCTATTGATTTTTCCCCAAAATTGTAAATTTTCAATGACAAAATTCCTTGAAATTTCACGAATTGCGCCGGAAATTTCAACAAAATAATCACAAACCAGTAAAATACATTACGAACTCACGTAAAATAGGCTGGATAGTGTAGCACAGGCTGACTCCCTGGGCCAGAAAAGTGAACAAAATGATAAAATGCATGGCCTGTTTCTCGCACTCCTTGATGATTCCCTTCCCGTACTCAGTGTGATGCCTAGTCCACAGAATCTCACTAGTGTACTTCATTAGTTTCAAGTACTTCTTCCTCTTCACCATGAACACCGCGAATTTCGACTGGACGATGAAGCACGTGCCGAATCCAATGAACGAGTATACAAATTCCTAGGAGATAAAAAAAATCTCCCCGTGTAATTGCAGAATTTATCGCCACTAAAAAAGGGGGCGCACGGTTGGCTAGCGATTTATACGGATTCTTTATCATTACGTATTAGAATTAATGTCCGCTTCATTAATTAATAAATTCACATTATAAGGTTTAAGAAATTCGGTGCATCTAAGAACGAAATCGGGCCCATTTTCCAAGTATAGAAATAAAAATCTTCGGAATAAACCGTCCGCTGTCACAAATTCCCAATATTTTGTTTTGTTTTTGTCTTTTAAAACGTTATTCTCGTCTTTTTTCAAAATTTGCATGTAAATTTGTTAGTCATGATAATTCCATAAGCATTTTTCTTATATCCAAAGATTAAATTTTTTATATAACTATAATATTGAGAGTATAGTTTTTATATAAGTATACATTTTAATAAAATATAAAAAAGAATATATATTTGAATGACTAAATTATTTAATTATTTATTTATTACATAAGCTAAAATACCATTAAAATATTCCTCAGTCCAGCCTATGCTTGTCGAAATAGATTGCTCAGCAAAAACGTTTCACCTATTTTTTAATAAGGGAAATAGAGGGTGTAACTCACGTAGAATGAGCCCCAGCAGTTGTAAATATCCATACCGGTGACACAACAGGCGAATGAGAGAGCTATAGTGGAATAAGTCACAATGACATCAACAACTATTTTTTCACGCCTAGTGGTGGCAATGGTGAAGCCAGCTGCGCTGAGGAAAAATTTGGTCAGGCGAATTGGTAGTGTCTCCACTGGATGCGACATCATGATGACAATGGAATTAATTTCAGCAATTCCCTACGATTGATCTAATCGGATTTTAATTATTGCAATTTACAAGTGAGGGTTTCCGGTTTGGACGAAGGGCGCTAGGATCCTCCGCAGGTGGAGGGTCTCGACTATAGATTGACATGAAAGTGTTACACTTGCTGGGGGAATGTACCTAGGGGTAGACTTCATGTCTGCAGTGACTGGCGACTGACAATCAAGCTGCAGTGTATCTCCCCCTCCTTCAAGGTGTGCAGTAATAAATCATGACCGTTAATACTGCATGTGACAGCTGATCCCTTCGATATCATCCCTCATTTTTTTCTTTGTTGTGGAGGACTGGATATTGCTCCCTCGACGGTAGTCAAGTTGCAGTGGAAGACTTATTACATATTCAAGTGATGATCGCGGTGGTGATGATTTCATTTTCGATGGAAAAGTTCTTCATAAGAAGCAGAAGACAAGACAAGAAGACTGATTTCTTCAACGAGAGAAAGTTTGCAACAAAGTCTGATGATGTTCACGTTTGTGAACAATAGATTGTCTGAAGGTATTGCAATCTTTTCATATTCATTGGTAGTTGTTAGTACGGGAGATGGGTTTAATGTGTTAAGCGAAGTTGAAGGGCTACACTTATTTACTGCAAACTGTATATTTATAGCATTTGGTCAAGAATGATGGTACAATAAGTGAATTATATGTATTGATACATTCAGACATTCCGTAATCTGATCACATTACTCAACTGCAACCGTAGAATGTTGTCTGATCGAGGATAGAGACGTGAGGGTTGTAGTCAACACCTGCGGAGGAATGCATCCATCAGTTATGAATAATAGTGCAACTGATGATTTTTACTCACCGATTTCACCGGGTCCAGCATGAAAGGAAAAAATCCCGCTCCTGTCAGACAAGAACATTGAGCCCTCACGATCATAAATACAAAATCTCTCATTAATGATCGCGATCTCTCACAATTACTTACTTCATACCATTCGGAGCTGTAAGGTATTTGCTGACGCCAATACTTGGTAATGAAAAGTTGTCACAGGTTGCATACGCAAAGGAAAATCATTCAGATAGACATCCGCCGATATAGACTGTAGACTTTATACGTCTCTTCAGAATGTTTCCAGGCTTGAGGAATGAAGGAATAATTATTAATAAACATTGATCTAAAAACAGACGATGAGGTTCTATATGAGGACTGAAGTTAAATTGATTAATGTACAGAGACTCTCCAGTTCGCTCACGTTCCAAATAAACAACTGATGTTACACCACACAATCCTTGAACTTCCGAAGAGCGACTTCCAAATCATCACAATTATCACACAGTTTTATTCATTTTGAAATTACCTGATTGTTCAAGGAGAAGAAATCCGCAAGGGTATAATCATGATAAATCGTTGGTATTATTTATTATTGACACATCCAAGTGAACGACTTGATCGTCCTGAATCCCTTCCGCACAACAGCCTAATCTTTATTTCCTGGATATGAAGACATCACATTCTACAAAAAATTTTACACGATATTCACCTAGGTTGAACCTTAAATTATCCAATGCTTCCATGATTATAATCATTGAAAAGAACTTGAACAAGTGTCAAGTGTTCAGGTAGGTTACGCTGCTAGGCACTGGAACCATCAATTCATAGCAGATTGTCTTATCAACGTTAGATACGAAAAAGCAGTGGTTAATACCTAAAACAGAAGTTTATGTGTGAAAATTCTGGGGTAATGAATGTTTTCCATATTGACAATCAAGCCCAACAATCCCGAATGGAAAGGTTATCAATGAAATACTCACCGATTTCACTGTATCCAATGTAACATAAAAGAAACCACCTCCCGTCAGCCTACAAGGGCGCTGGGCCCTTATGATCATGATTGAATAATCTTTTGTGAGCGCTCGACCCCTCTCAGATGAATTTTTATTATACCAAGCGGAGTTATAAGGTCCATCACCAACAGTGAGGCTCCCCAGGGTGAGATTGGTGCAGGTGAATGAGAAAAAGAATAATTGGCTTATGCAGCCTATTGCGTAGACTCCGAACTTTATTCGTCTCAGCACTGCATTCTCTGGCTTAAAACAGAACCATATTAAACACTTTTCGAGGAGTTGATGAAAATCGAAGAGTAAATTTCTTGATTGCAAAGGAATAAGCGCAGAGTACAAACGAAAATAATTAGTAAAGCTGTTCTGTTACTTGTATTTTTCGATAGAATTTGATGATAACTTATTTGTGCTCACGGGGGATGACAGCAAAGGAACAGTTAAGGAGGGCGAAGCTAGGATTGTGTCAACAACCATGTATCAGGAATCCGGCTAATCTGTCTCTTTCGGTAAGTCAAGACATGCTGGCAGACCAGCACATTCGCGGCGATTTCCGGAATCTAATGTGGGCATTCCATAATCTTGCACAATGGGTCCTCATAGTGACAAAGAAGCTGGCAGAATTCATAAAAAAGCCGCAGAAACCCTAGAACTTGAATCCTTCACTGACCCTCACAATGAAACAGTGTCAGTCATTAGGGAAGAGTATTTCAAGAACTTCTACAGGAAAAATCAAAAACTCTGGGTCTCGAGGCTTCTAAAAATCATTCAGGAACAGATAGTGCGGGTATGAGATGCGCTTGGGTCATGTCTTCTCCGAGTGCTCTAGATGCTGTATTTGAAGGAGGAAATTAATCGAGAATATTGACAGCAATGAGTACTACCTTGAAAGACTGATATACATACATTATGGTGATTACAATTATGCACTTGCTATATTTTCTCCAAAGCATTGCGAAAAAATGAATGAATGTTTAAAACAACGTATGTCTAAGTCTAGAAGTGTATCATCTCATGATTTTCATCATTTTGCGGAAAAATTTCCTGTCACACTGTGATTTCACCCCTATTCTACTGAATTTTTCCGTGCTCACACTTATGGATGGTCATACCATAATCGTTTGATAACCGCACAGGCAGATTAGAGTACTGTGGACCAAGACTGATGCCAAATTGATTATTGTGTACAATCCCTCAAGCTCTTCTGTGACGGAAATCAGAAACTGATGCTGCCTAATGCAATTCTTGAATTCTTGAGAAACAAAGGCCAGAAAATTCTTTTCTCCATCCACTTCTCCACTTTCCATGTAACTACTGGTGATTCTATCGATTAATTGATGACTGTATAAAACTTCCAATCGGTATCTGAGAATACTGAATTGTCCTGTGATGAAGGTATTCGCAAGCACCAGAAAACTCTCGAAGCAGGAGTACAAAACACACAATTGTACAGTGATAAATACCTGTCAAAATGACGAATACCCATCAGTCAAAAAATGCAATAATACAACTGTGTTGATAAAGTCTGGAGTACCTGGAGAAGGTACACCATTTCAAAATTTGGCGTTTCGTAAACTGGCCAATTTTGCCAAATTTTGATGATGAGCATGCGATCGCTGGGCGTCGTGATATTATTCCACCAATGATCTGTAATAAATGTCTGCATTGTTAAGAAAAATTCAACATTTCATGGACAGTTAAATAATGATGTAAACAATTGTAGGGTTCAATTGGACAAAAAATAAGTATAGTTGTGTTTGCAATTAGCAATATGCATCCGAATGGTTATTTTGCACATAATTTTTTTCTCTCATGTATGATTCACTGTTTATTTAATTTTATTAGACTGAATGAGACTTCTGTCCAACTAGTTTTGTCAGTTTTTCAACTGAATTAAATGTTACCAAATTCCGCAAATGTTGATCGTGGTCAAGTTAGACTGAAATTTCAGGAAATCGTGTCATTGGAAAATCAAATATTCCATTGATTTTTTGCTCAAATGATCCGACAATCAATGATATACTTGATTTTTCAGTTCAATTATTTTGTGAAAATTCAGAAAAATAAGGACAATTCGGGGAAAAATTGAAATTTCATGTAATTTTGTTTTTCAACATTCATGTCCCACTGAAAATTCAATCAAGTTATGAAATTTTTATCTCACTCCCACTTAAAACTCATGAATTTCCGTCAATTGTACTTAAAACTTGAAATTTCATAACCATTTGTTCCCTAAATTCAATTCAATGGCACTCTCATCAGATTTACTATAATATCTTCCATGATATTGCAAAAAATTTGTAACCATGTGTACTGGATCGATATACCACAAAAAATCCAAAACTTAAATTTAAACATTACAAAGCTTCCAATGAAAAGCAAAAAATTACCAATTTTTCCCAAAAACGTGAGAATTATCCAAATAACAGGAAGACAAGACAATAATTGGAATAAAATTGTCAACTTTCCTCGGATTTCCCATAAAATTTCGCGTTTTCCAAAGTTTTAGAAATAATAAAAAACCGTAATGCAGATCGTATGGACGTGAAACAGTTTCGACTTTCATTATTAATTCGTAATTCTCTACTACCGGTCCACTTTGCCCCCGATTCTTCCCCCAAGGACTTGAATGCACTCACAGATAACGGGTTCGACGATATAGAGAACTCCTGTACTACTAGCGAGGTATGCAAAAGCCCCCACATAAAATAGCGCGTGTTTCTCACATTTCTTCATCACTTCCTTATCGTAATCATTCTGAGTCTGCCCCCACAATTTGTCCCTAGCGAGTCGCATGAGACGCTCATAGGAGGTGCGTTTCATCAGCGTTGTGTAATATTTTATATTGATTATGGTAGCTGTCACCATAGTGATCCCTGTGTACGCTACCCCCTGTTGAGAGAAATCCTATGAGTATTGGCGGTGAACTTGAGCTTCTGGACTGATCGAAATGATACATTACATCAAAGGACCCCCATTCGTGGTAGAAATCGCTGTAGATGCTAATGGTACCGAGGGCAACGATGATAATCGTGTAGAGAGCCCACAAATTCAGAGTTCTCCGCTGCTGGTCAGTCTCTGTTATTCCGAAGCCAACTAGGTATAGAAGGAAAAATGAGATTCTAGCTGGCAAAATTTCCCTCTGGCCGGACGTCATGACGATGAGGGCTGACTGACAGCTGGAGGGTAGAAAATTCACTCCCTCTCAGACTTGTTTAATAATAAATAGCTACCGTCCACTGGCTGGTATTTTTCAGCCAACAATGACTTTTTTATGCGGACGCCTTGGTATTTATGAATTTTAAAATACTGGTCTATGGATTCTCCTCGGCGAATTTAGAGGATGATGGCTGGGGTTGCCGATTAGTTCATATTAAATCACTTCACTCGGAACAATCAGAATACATTGTCTTTTTATTTGTTTCTCACTCATCGCGAACCGCTGGTTGATGCGGAAAATGCAGGAGTTGGCGGAGGGATTGAACAAAAGCAAACGACTCAATATTCATTCAGAGAGTTTAAGTGAAACAAATTGGTACGTTATAATAGATTCTCTGTTGTAAAAGTTTATGCACACAATTTGTGCGGAATTGTGAAGTCGAACTGCCGAACGTGAAGATTAAATCAGACAGATTTTTTGGGGAAGGAACGAAAATATATTTACACTGAAGGCTTCATCGGATGTCTTCTTATGAATTATTCCATGATTTAATCGCCTTCATCAGCTACTACAAATGAATCAACGGATTAGTTATGCATAGTAGTGCAACTGATGATTTTTACTCACCGATTTCACCGTATCCAGCGTGAAGGGAAAAAATCCCGCTCCTGTCAGACGACAAGAGCGTTGAGCCCTCACGATCATAAATGCAAAATCTCTCATTAATAATCGCGACCGCTCACAATTACTTACGCCATACCATTTGGAGCTGTAAGGCCTCCTAGGCTTGAGAAATCCTCAAGCGTGGAATCATGACAAAACATAGTTATTATTTATTATTGACACATCCAAGTGGACGACTTGATCGTCCTGAATCCCTTTCGAACAACAACTCAATCTTTATTCCCTGAATACGAACAAGACATCAACTTCTACAAAAAAACTTTCACGATATTCACCTAGGATGAACCTTAAATTATCCAAAGCTTCCATGATTGTAATCATTGAAGAGAAATTGAACAAGTGTTCCAGTAGGTTACGTTGATCGCCACCAGAACCATCAATTCATAGAAGATTGTCTTATCAACGTTAGATATGAAAAAGCAGTGGTTAATACCTAGAACAGAAGTTGATGTGTGAAAATTCTGGGGCGATGAACCATTTTTCATACTGAACATCAAACTCAACAATCACGAATGGAAAGCTTATCAATAAAATACCCACCGATTTCACTGTATCCAATGTAACATAGAAGAAGCCACCTCCCGTCAGCCTACAGGGGCGCTGGGCCCTCATGATCATGATTGAATAATCTTTTGTGAGCGATCGACCCTTCTCAGACGAGTTTTCGTTATACCAAGCGGAGTTGTAAGGCCCATCACCGACAGTGAGACTCCCCAGGGTGAGGTTGGTGCAGGTAAATGAGAAAAAGAATAGTTGACTTATGCATCCTGCTGCGAAGACCGTACACTTTATTCGTCTCACCAATGCATTCCCTGGCTTTAAACAAAAGGATATTAACCACTCTTCAAGGAATCGAAGAGAATAGAGTAGATTTTTTGATGAAAGAAGAATAAGCGCTGAGTACGAACGGAAACGATGAGGGAAGTTGTTTTGTCTATTCTATTATCAGATAGAATTTGATGGTAACCTCTTTGTGCTCGCGAGTAATGATGGCAGAGGAAAAGTTCAGGGGGGTGAGGCAAGGAGTGCATAAACAGGACAGCACATTCTCGCTGCTTTTCTGGATGCGATGTCGGCATTCCATAATATCACGCAATGCATTGAACAAAAAAATTCCAAGAACATCTACGAGAAAGATGGAAAAAACGGTGGTCCTCGAGAATTCCATAACTCGTGTCTTTTCCAGTTCCGATACGCGAAGGAGAAAATTAATCGAGGAAATTTACAGCAACAACTTCATGAAAGACTGATATACAAACGTAACGATGATTAGAGTTTTCTATCTGCCATATTTGTTCTAAAGCATTGATGAAGAATGAAAGAAAAAAAATAGTGTTTCGAAATCTAGACGATTCGTGTCTCTATTCTCATGATGTTCATCTCGTCACAGAAAATTTCCACTCATACTGTCATTTCGCGTCTATTCTATCGAATTTTTCTGTGCTCTCACTTCTGGATGATCATACCATAATCGTTTGATAACCGCACAGGCAGATCAGGGTACTGTGGATCAAGACTGATGCCAAATTGATTATTGTGTACAATCCCTCAAGTTCTTCTGTGACAGAAATCAGAAACTGATGCTGTCTGATGCAATTCTTGAATTCTTGAGAAACAAAGGCCAAAGAATTCTTCTCTCCGTCCATTTCTCCACTCTCCATGTAACTACTGGTGATTCTATCGATTAATTGATGACTGTATAAAACTTCCAATCGGTATCTGAGAATACTGAATTGTCCTGTGATGAAGGTATTCGCAAGCACGAGAAAACTCTCGAAGCAGGAGTACAAAACACACAATTGTACAGTGATAAGTGCCTGTCAAAATCACGAATACCCATCAGTCAAAAAATGCAGTAATACAACTGTGTTGATGAAGTCTGGAGTACCTGGAGAATGTACACCATTTCAAAATTCGGTGTTTCGTAAACTGGCCAATCCTGCCAAATTTTGAAGATGAGCATGCGATCGCTCGGTGCCGTGATATTATTCAAGGAATTATCTGTAATAAATGTCTGCATGGTTACGAAAAATTGAACATTTCAATTATTGGTCAGTGAACAAAACTTGTGGTGAAGTGGAACGGTTCGAAATACCATTGTTAATTCATTATTAGCTAAATCATAGAGATGGAAAAAATTTGTCATTAATTTTTCTCTACATTGGTTTTTGATTCGAGTGCACTCACAGATAGGGATGTAAGGGATAAAGCTGACCGATCAATTCATCGTTATTTACTTGTAAATTACACTGCACTGACATTTTTGCATATAGTATAGTTGCTTTTGCTAATAAATTGCCAATATGCTTCCGAATGGTTATTTTGCACATTTCCTTTTATCATGTATAAGTCATTGTTTATTTCATTTTATTAAATAGAATAAGATTTCTTTTCAACTAATTTTGTCAAATTTTTAACTTATTTGAATGTGATCATCATTATTCTAATTATTTCTTTCTTCCTCGAAATTCTGATTTTCAAAAAATTCAAAATTTTTGCAAATTTTCAAATGAATCAAAATAACGATTATTGTTATCGCCTTCATCTTCGGACTCGGTCAAAGGATATCCAAACAAATTTTTTAAGCCATCAGTCAATTAATTCAGAACATTTTTTTAGTTATCGTGGGCAACCGATTTTTTAAAAAATCGAAAATTGAAAAACCGAATTGATGAATTAAATTTTCATTAATGGCGATCGGTAGGGCTCAACAATATCTACATTTGAAAAAAAAGATTCAATTCCGTCCATTCATTAGCGAACAATTAAGGAAAAACTATATTATATACGTACACACATACACACACGTGCAGACGAGGTCTAAAAATCGCATTTTCGGACTTTTCGGATCATATTCGATCGATATAACTCAAAAAGTCGAAAACATGAATTTGAACGACTACAAAGCTTCCATTCGGAAGCAAAATGACCAAAAATGACCGAGCAAAGAAAATGACGGTCAGATTACATCTAGATAGACGATTTTCAGCATAAATAACAACGAGAAAAATTGCTGACGGTGGGGTGAGTTGACCGGTCAGTTTGCATCATGAGCTATGCGTTAGGGGACGGATAATTTATGCCTGACTTGACGCATGTGAAAAATTACCATCATTTTCCATCGCTACTCACAGATGATGGGTTCCACGATGTAGAGAACCCCCGAACTACCTGCGAGATACGCAAAAGCAGTCACATAAAACAGTGCGTGTCTCTCACACTTTTTCATCACTGCCTTATCATAGTCAGTCTCAGCGTGTCCCCACAGTGTGTCCCGTGCGAGTCGCATGACCCTCACATACCATGGGCGCTTCATCAGCGTTGTGAAATATTTTATACTGATTATCGTAGTCACAAGGGTAGTGATCCCAGCATACGTCATCCCCTGTTGCAAAACAACCGCTGAGTATTGGCGGTGATCAATAACATACTGTTAGAAATTGGTTTAATTTCCAGTGACGATGGTAATTGAATTCTCAATGTTGTGGATCGTAATTCAATTTAAGATGATGTCATTCATCAAAGTTTCCATTCATATTGAAAATTTTACAAATTCAGTTTTTCATGACGAGCTATCACGGATATTTCAAGTACTGCTTGAATTTTAAACCTCATTATGGAAAATGAATAATAAATTCAATTTTCAATAAATGGAGAATTCCGTAAAATAATGGCCTGAATTTTTATTATTTTCCGGGAAAGTAAAATTTCCTTGAATATTCACAGATGGTATCTGATTTTTTATTGACCAAGTGCAGATGAATTTCATGTAAATATAGTGTTGTTAAAAATATCAAGTTTTTTCATTTGAAATTTGAAGAGTGATTTTCTAACTGTGCAGCTGACAATTCGACTGATTAAAACGATACATTACTTCCAGGGATCCCCATTCGTGGTACAAATCACAGCCGATGGTAGCGGCCCCCACGGTGACCATCAAAACCGTGTAGACCATCCATAAATTTAGGATTCTTCGTTCACTGTGAGTCTCTGTTATTCCGAAGCCACCCAGATACAGAAGGAAAAATGAGATTTTAGCCGGCAAAATCTCCTTCGAGTCAGAAGTCATGTTATTGATGAAAAGTGAGTGACAGCTGAAGGGTGGAAATTCACTCTCTCTCGCAGTGATGTTAATAATAAATAGGCACCGTTTAACGGCTGTCATTTTCATATGGGATATGATTTTTTTATTCACACACTTCGATAGTGATAGAAATGGAAACAGTAGTTTATCGCATCGACTGGGTGAGCTCGAAGGTTGATAGCTAGGGGTGGAGATCGTGCTGAGGGCAGGCGCTGGGTGATATATGCATCGAAGATTTTGATGGGAGTGCGAGTGCAGGAGTTGTTGGAGGAATTAAACAGGAGCAAATGTTGCTGTTGTTTTGCATGATAAGAAGCTTTCTTCAGACTCAATAGTCATCTGGAGTGTTTCCGCGGGATAAGTTGATAAGTTGGAATAAATTCTTTATTCCAAATCGTGAAGTTAGTGATGCCGCGAGAGACTTCACGAAACATCACGAGACAATGCTTTGAAGGGATTGTCTCGGTCTCAGCGAACGCGGAAATATTTGGTCTCGTCTCAGTCTCGAAATACGCAGTATCGACTTTTGTCGTAGTGACTCCGAGGCAATTCATTTCACCTGGATCCAGTTTTTCGCATTTTTATATGCCGAAAATCGAGACGAGACAAAGCGAGACAAAAACCAAGATTTTACATTAAAAATACGAAAAACTTGAGACCGAGATGGGATAAATTGACTAGGAGTCATCACAAGAGAAGTCGATACTGCGGATTTCGAGACTGAGACGAGACCAAAGATTTCCATGTTTATTAATGTTTATTTATACAATCTCTTCAAACTATTGCCTCGTAAAGTCTCTCGCGGCATCACTACGTGAAGTTGATCAGTTCAACTGATGAACGTGAATGATAAATCAGATAGATTTCATGGGAAGGAAAGATCTATTTATTTATACAAAATGCTTCATCAGTTGTCTTCCTACACATGATTACATAATTTTGATCACATTAATCAACTCCTACCATAGAACGTTGTCTGATCAACGTGAGATACGAGAAAGCTGTGGTGAGCACCTGCGAAAGAAGGAGCCAATCAGTTATGAATGAAAGTGCAACTGATGATTATTACTTACCGATTTCAACGTGTCCAGCGTGACAGGAAAAAATCCAGCTCCCGTGAGATGGCAAGGCCGTTGAGCTCTCATGATCATAACTACAAAATCTCTCGTCAATGATCGTGATCTCTCAGAATTACTTCTCTTGTACCATTTTGAATTGTAAGGCCCTTGACAGACGTCCACACTTGCCAATGACAAGTTGTGACAGGTGTATGAAAAGGAGAGTAATTGAGTTAAACATCCACCGATGTAGACTGTAAACTTTAGGCGTCTTATCAGAACGTTTCCAGGCTTGAGGAATGAAGGAATGATTATTAATGAGCATCGAATTGACATCTGTAATCTTGATGTCATACCATAATAAGTTGATAACCAGTCAAACAGATGATAAGGCTGTATATGAGGACCGAAGTTAAATTGATCAGTGAATAGAGACTCTCGATTTCGCCCACGATCCAAATCAAAAACTGGTGCTGCTTGACGCAATCTTTGAACTCTCGGGCAGCAACTTTAAAGTCCTCATTTAGTCTTCCCCTATCGCTGTCCTTATTCATAATCGACTCAACGATTTTTCTGTTGTACAATAGTTCCAATCTATATTTGAGAATAGTAAATTGTCCTGCAATGAAGATATTCACGAGCACCAGATAATTGTCGTAGCAACAGTACAAAATACCCGCGTAACAAGCCATCCCCGACTGCAACAGATTAATACATAGCATTGTTAAAAGGACTTCACCAGTCAGAAACCCTTAGAAATACATAAAATACCTGAAGAAGAAAAAATATATGAAAATTTGGTGTTTCATATACGGGCAGATCTAACCATATTTTGAAGGGAAATCGACGTTCCGTTACGTCGGTGATATTATTTCCAACATTTACTACAAGAATTTTCCATATATTTCCACTTTTAATGAATAAATAATAATAACTTTCATCAACTCGAATGCACCCACACAAAATTGCTTCGATGATGTATAAAAAAGATGTAGAATTCGCAAAAATAGCGAAAAAAATGACAAATATCATGGCTTGTTTTTCACACTGTCGCAACACATTTTCTTCATCTTTCGTTTGAGCATTTCCCCACAATGAATCCCGTGTGATTTGCAGAACCTTTTCGTAGTGACTTCGTTGGAACAACAACGAGAAGAATTTTATATTGATTATAAGAGCAGTTAACACGTTAATCCCGGTGTATGCCATCTCCTGTTGAGAAATATCAATTAATTATTGGCGTCACCTCACAATAACTATTTCCCTAATATATTACCTGGAAAGATCCCCATACAAAGTAGAAATCAATGAAAATAATAGTCAATCCAAATATTGAAGCCAGGAACCCGTTGGACAGCCATAGATTAAGAATTCTTCTTTCTTTCGCAGTTTTTCCTGTTCCAAAACCAACTAAGTAGAGAAAGAAATATGTGAGTCTCACTGGGAGAGCCTCCCGATCGAACGGCATGTCATTGGAAAGAGTGATTGACAGCCAGAGGGTGAGGAAAATGCCTTCCACAATGGGGAATTGAATAATTGATAATACCGCATATGCATATGCTGGAGGCTACTAACAATCTTACATTTTCTTCAGTCCTAAGTACATCGATCTTCGCAACTTAAAACGCTTCTCTTTGCTTCTTCGGCATGAACGGTCTAGTACGTAAGTGGTATGATTGCGAAGCACATCGCGCTGGAGAGACGTGTTGTATGGATTTTAGCCGTATGACACTGATTACAGCCAGTGATTATTAAATGTTTTGAAACTTGCGGGGAAATTGACAGCGAGGAGGAATTGTACTGATACAAGTACGGGATATAATGTTCAGAAGGGTCATGAAGGTGAAATGAAAGCCACAAGAAAAGTCATAAGTATCATGAGAAAGGTCTTAAGAATCCAATAAGTGTCAAACATCGTGAGGGATTAGACAATGAGTTGATGGAATAGTGAAAATTGACACGCACTGTTGGGTGAATTGGAATGGTTGCATTCATTTCGAGTGATTACATGTTGAGTTAGTAAAAATAATCTGTCCTCATTGGATAGATTGTTTTATCAATGTCAAATACGAAACGACAGTCGTTAGAACCTACAATGCAAGTTGATGATGAATAGAAATCCCATTCGATTTTACGTACCAGTAAATATTTACCGGTTTCAGAGTATCCAGTGTAACCGGAAAGAAGCCAGCTGCCGTCAGACAACACGGACGTTGAGAGCTCATGATCATTATGACAAAATCTCTGGTCAATGATCGACTACTTTCCGATCAATCTTTCTTGTTGAGGTAACTGGGCATAAGAGTAGTTCGGCCAGACATTCAAGGATGAAAACTTGTCTCATCAACGGATTTCCTGGCTTGATGCGAAAGAAGGCTTTACTCTGACTTACGGATAGATATGTGGTCAGCCTGAAAGTTATTCTTCCTTTTGAGAACAGGTTTTTTTATTTGTTCTAATATAAGTTCATGTGAAGAAAGAATTTTTTGTTAGAGTGTATAAAGGGAATAAAGGATCTTGCAGATCAAGTTCAAGTTTTCCAACTCTCAAGCATCTATTTCGTCTCATGGTGCAATTCTCTGGGCCGAAATTTGAATGGGAAATTGTGAAAACTCTTGATTGATGAGGAAAATACTGGAATTGCCGGAGGAATTGAACAGGAGACAACGATTTCTCTTGGTTTGCAGACTAAGAAGCTTTTGAAGATATTCCACGTAACAAATTGGTAAGTCAGATAGATTTCTTGGGAGGAATAGATCTATTTATTTACACCAAATGCTCTGTCGGATACTTTTTCATATATTATTACATAATTTAATCGCATTAATTAACTGTTACCATAGAACTTTGTCTGATCAACGTGAGATACGAGAAGGCTGTGGTGAGCACCTGCGAAGGAATGAACCAATCAGTTACGAATAACAGTGCAACTGATGATTATTACTTACCGATTTCAACGTGTCCAGTGTGACGGGAAAAAATCCAGCTGCCGTGAGATGGCAAGGCCGTTGAGCTCTCATGATCATAACGACAAAATCTCTCGTCAATGAACGTGATCTCTCGGAATGACTTCTCTCGTACCATTTTGAATTGTAAGGCCCTTGGCAGACGTCAACACTTGCCAATGACAAGTTGTGACAGGTGTATGAAAAGGAGAGTAATTGAGTTAGACATCCACCAATGTAAACTGTAAACTTTACACGTCTTATCAAAATGTTTCCAGGCTTGAGGAATAAAGGAATAATTATTAATGAGCATCGAACTAACATATGTAATCCCGATGTCATACCATAATAAGTTGATAACCCGTCAAACAGATGATGAGGCTGTATACGAGGACCGAAGATAAATTTATCAGTGAATAGAGACACTCGAGTTCGCTCACGATCCAAATCAAAAACTGATGCTGCTTCACGCAATCTTTGAAATCTCGCTCAGCAACTTTCAAGTCGGCATTTGGTTTCCCCCTATCGCTATCCTTATTCATACTCGAGTCAACGATTTTTCTGTTATACAGTAGTTCTAATCTATATTTGAGAATAGCGAATTGTCCTGCAATGAAGATATTCACGAGCACCAGATAATTGTCGTAGCAACAGTACATAATACCCGCGTAACAAGCCATCACCGTCTGCGACAGATTAATACTTAGCACAGAAAGATATGCACCATTAGAAATACTGCACCAATCACGATCTTCCGAAAATATATGAAATACCTGGAGAAAAAAAAATATATGAAAATTTGGAGTTTCATAAATGGGCAGATCTAGCCATATTTTGAAGGGAAATCGACGTTCCGTCACGTCCGTGATATTATGCCCGATATTATCTACAATAATCCTCCATATATTTCCCCTTATAGTCAATAAATAACACTAACTTTTATCAATTCGAATGCACTCACACAAAATTGCTTCGGTGATGTATAAAAAAGCTGTGGAATTTGCAAAAATAGCGAAAAAAATTACGAATAACATGGCCTGTTTCTCACACTGGCGCAACACATTTTCTTCATACTTCGTCTGAGCATTTCCCCACAATGATTTCCGTGAAATTTGCAGAACACCTTCGTAGTGACTTCGTTGCGACAATAAAGAAAAGAATTTTATAACGATTATCAGAGCAGTTAACACGTTAATCCCGGTGTAAGCCATCTCCTATTGAAAAATATCAAATAAGAATTTCCATTAACTCACAATAACTATTCCAACAATGCATTACCCCGAAAGATCCCCATGTGTAGTAGAAATCCATGGAAATAATAGGAAACGCAAAGGTGGCCATCAGAAGCCCGTTGAACACCCATAGATTAAGTATTCTCCGTTCTTTCGCAGTTTTTCCTGTTCCAAAGCCAACAATGTAGAGAAAAAAATATGTGAGTCTCACTGGGAGAGCCTCCCTTCGATCAAGCAGCATGTCACTGGAAAGAGTGATTGACAGCCGGAGGGTGAGGAAAATGCCGTGGTCAAGGGGAATTAAAAAATAGATAATAACGCATCTACTGGAGGCCATTGGCAACCCTACAATTTCTTTCTTCAGTCATATGTATATCGATCTGCGCAACTCAAAACGTTTCTCTTTGCTTCTTCAGCGCGAATAGTCTAATACGTAAGTGGCTTGATTGCGAATCACATCGCGCTGGGGACAAGTGTTGGGTTGATTTTAGCCCTGTGATAACGCTTAGGGGAGAGTAGACTGGTCCGGCTCGGCAGCCAATACGGCTCACCACGGTTTCTCCATCATTATGAAATTAATTTTTTATTCCTTTTTTCTCATACGAATTATTCAATATCACGATGTAATTTTCGAAGAAATTTCACTTCATCTACCACTTTGAATATAAAAAAACATATAGCGAGGTTTCGAGATCCTTACGGTTTAAAATCTGGGGACCAGTAAATAAGATTTTTTGTACTTTTAAACACCGCATTCGTACGTTTAGCTGTTGACTGTCGATTCGAGGCACTTCCTGCTTTCATTGGAGATCTATAGGATTTCTTTATTCCCTTCCAATTAATAATTATTGTAAATTTTTTTACCACTGCGCAGAGCCGGTAATAGGGCTCACCTGGTGCGAGTAATATCGCTCGTCTGGCGACCAGTACCACTCAGGATTTGACAGCTCGTCAGTGTAAACGTGGGATTGGATTTTAATGGCATCACGTAAATATAACATAATTATTGTTTTTTTAAAGGAAAACATTCGATAATGTATGATGGGATGGTGATCAACTTAAATGGAACTGTAGATAGTTGGAATACTCCATTAAAGTCTTGAAATCAGATAAATGGATATTGTGATTAGATTTTGCGCTGTTGTTTTGGAATATCAAAGACTTCGTTATGATGGGTTATAATAATCAAAAAAATCAGTTGAAATCGATCAATTTTTTTTTTTCATAACTCTGTTGAATCTATATGAAGTAGAAACTCTATTCCTGTCGAAACAACTCGAATCAACTCAAATAATTAATGGGAAAATAATCATACGATTCACAATGTATTGCATTGTATGTATGCATTGTATTCACTTATTTCGTTTCATTTTCTTTCCTGTCACTTGACAGTGGGAGCATTACAGGCAGCGGAGTGAGCGATATTGGAATCGTACTGAGCCTTATTACTCGCCGTCGGGTAATAAGGCTCAATAGGCTCCCACTTTCGTTTTTCATTTATTTTGTAAATTTGGAAAAGAGTTAGATCTCTACACTTCAGAAATAACATTTTGAATAATCAAATAAAAAAGCCAAGCCATTGTTTACATTTAGAGTTGAGATTCTAAATCTAAAATTCACATTTTCCCTTAGGTCAGCCATACATCTACACCCTCCCCTACAGCCAGTGATTACTAAACATTTGGAATACTTGGGGGGGGAGATGACAGCGAGGAGAAATTGTACTGACACAAGTATGGGGTATAATGTTCAGAAGAGTCATGAAAGTGAATTGAAAGCCACCAGAAAAGTCATAGGGATGATGAGAAAGGTCTTAAGAATCCAATAAGGGTCAAACATCGTGAGAGATTAGACACAGAGTTGATGCAATAACGAAAATTGACACGCACTGTTGGGTGAATTGGAATGGTTACATTTATTTCGAATGATTACATGTTGAGTTAGTGAAAATAAATTGTCCTCATTGGATAGATTGTCTTATCAATGTCAAATACGAAAAGGCAGTCGTTATAACCTGCAATACAAGTTGATGATGCATAGAAATCCCATTCAATTTTACGTACCAGAAAATATTTACCGATTTCAGAGTGTCCAGTGTAACCGGAAAGAAACCAGCTGCCGTGAGACAACACGGACGCTGAGACCTCATGATTATTATGACAAAATCTCTCGTCAGTGATCTACCCCTTTTCGACCAATTTCGGCTGTACCAGTCGGAGTTGTAGGGGCCCTCACTGACCTCAACACTGCCTACGGAAACATTATTGCAGGTGAAGGAGAATGAGAGCAGTTGCGTCAGACAGCCGGAGATGAACACCACAAACTTTACTCTTCTCATCAACGGATTTCCTGGCTTGATGCGAAAGACATGGATGTGAAAATTCTACTGCATTTCTATTGAATTTTCTATAGAACTTGCTGCACTCGAATTTTCCAAGTTCCTCTTATTGATTCTTCTCACCGAAAGAAGAGGAAAAACAGTGGGAAAAATTTGGAAAATGCATATCGAGGCATTACTCTGGAAAATGTCTCAAAAGAAGTTCTATAGAAAGACCAACTTCCGCTGATTTTTCCAGAAAACATTTTCCATTAGACATATTCAATTGATAAATCGTGGAAATGTTCTGTAGAATTCGCTAGGTATTTTTGGAATTCTCTCTCACCATAATCAGTTGATAACCAGCCAGGCAGATGATGAGACTGTAGACTAGGACTGAAGCTAAATTCACGACTGTGTAAATCTCCTCCACCTGCTCCACGAAGCCAATCAAGTATTGATGCCGTTTTATGCAGTTCTTAAATTCTCGAGAGATTGACATCAAGGAATCATCTTGTCCGCTCAACTGCTCGCATCCCACGCAACTCCTTGTGATTGACTCGATGATTTTTTCATTGTAAAGAACTTCTAGTCTGTATTTGAGAATTGAAAATTGTCCAGTGATGAAGATATTCACGAGAACTAGGTAATTATCGAAGCAGAAGTACAGTATGCAGGAATGGTAAGTCACAAACATCTGGAAAATTTCGTCATTTTTAAAAAGTGCAACGATACTGCTCGACGAAGCTCAGGTACCTGTATGAGGAAGAAAATCTGAAAATTTGGGGTTTCGTAGATTGGCAGGTTGAACCAGACTTTGAACGGGAACAAACGTTTCTTGACATCTGTACTATTATTCTGGATGTTGACTGAAATGAATGATCACTATATTTTCTGACTCAATCAATTACATTCTACAATCGTTAATTTACACTAACGAAAAAATTTCATCGGGAATTTTGTTGGATTTCTGGTCATCTGTTTGTTAGTTTTTGGCTGACCTTTTCTACTTGTTCTACTGAATTTTTCTAAAACTAAAATTTTGAAGTAAAACCACGGAAATCTCCAACAGAAATGTGCCGCAATCCAATAGAATTTTCTATTGAATTGGCTAGATTTTCCCATGAAATTTTTTTGTTCATGCTCACTCGATTCAAATGCGGATAGTTTTTTGGCTCGAACTCAAGAATAACATAACTCACGGAGAACAGGTTCCACGAAATAAGCAATTCCCGAAGTTTGTGCGAACGTTGCGAACAAGATGATAAAGAACATTGCCTGATTTTCACATTTCTTCAGAACCCTTCTTCCGTGCTCTGTCTGAGTATCAGACCACAACGACTCGCAAGCGGCTTTCAGAAGGTCCTCATACTGCTGGCGATTGAACATGATGGTAAAAAATTTTGCATTTATAATGACGTCCGTGAGAAGATTGACCGCTGAGTATGCCATATCCTGGTGAAGAATTCATTTCATGTAATTCCTCAACCAAATTCCCACAACGAACGTTAATTACATTGAAAGATCCCCACACGTAGTACAAATCAACGATCGTAATGGAAAATGCTACCAGTACCGTGGAGCACGACCAAACTAGACACATATTCAGTAGCTTTCTATCTTTGTCGGTTTTCGCTATTCCAAAACCAGCGATGTATAAGAAGAAAAATGTTATTCGCATGGGGAGGGCTTGTATCGTAGACGCCATGGCGCCAGTGCAGAATGACTGACAGTCGAGGGTGCGAATGACTGACAGTCCAGGGTGCGAATGACTTTCCACGCAAGCCATTATCATTAATATTGCACGTGACAACTGATCCCTTCAGTCTTACTTCGCTGCTCACGCACCTCTCATGTTGCACGAAAAAGAATGTGTTTCCTACCTCTGCATCTATTGTAGGGGGTTCATTTGGGAAAATTTATAAGTTGGAATTGATTCTTTGTTGCGGATACTTTGGTAAAACAAAACTTGCACTTTTGTCAATAAGTAAATTAGTGAAAATTAATGGGTTAAATAACCAGATTAATAAGCTTTAATCAACATATGTTATCATAACATCAGTCATCACATGTGTATCTGCCATTTTCTCGTTACACAATAAAAACAGCTTTTTGTCGTCAATCTCTGAAGGTTCCAGTTATTAATTGGAGCCTTTATCCGCAGATTGCCGTATCAGAGTCAAATATGAGAAGGCCGTGCTCAAAGTCTGAAAAAAAGCTCCCTATCATCCTAAATAATGTGATATAAGGGGACAAGACTCACTGAATTGAATACGTTCAGAGTAACTGGAAAGAATCCCGCGGCAGTCAAATAACATGGTGTTTTCGACCTCACAAGGATCATCATGAGGTCCTTGGTCAATCCTCTACCCCTCTCTGATGAATTCTTGGAGTTCCAATTGGATTCGTACGCACCGTCAGCAACTTCGACACTAGCGTCAGTCACATTGCCACAAGTTATAGCGAAAGAAAATAATTGAATGATGCAACCACCCAAGTAGATAACAAACTTGATTCTTCGGAACAATGGATTGCCAGGCTTGAGGGAGGGCAAAATCAATTAACAAGTTGTTATTGCGACAATCACGTTCATTGAGATGATCGTGGTTATAACTGATGACTACGATTATTAATGGACTACTAACGCAATTAATGAATGACCTGTGACATATTCAATTTCCTCTGCATGAGTTGGATTCATGATCACTGAGTTGTTATTAATGGACCTTGTAATTAATCGATTATTACTCATAATTTATATCAACATACCATGATGAGTTGATAGCCAACCAGACAGATGATAAGACTAAAGGTAACGACCTGGACTAAATTTATAATAGTGTAAATACTATCCAGTTGTTCTATCACGTCTATCAAGAATCGATGGCGTGTGATACAGTCTTTGAATTCATTGACGATGGCGGAGGACAGATAGCCTTCGTCTTCAACCCCGTGGTCATCCAACTTCTTGGATTCACCATCCTTACCGACCTTATCATACAAATCCTTCAATCTTTTTCTCAGTATTTTAAATTGTCCAGCGGAGTATATGTTGACGAGGGCTAGGTAGTTATCATAGGCTAGCCACTGGATTGATGCGAAATAGATGAAGCAAAACTATAAATGTCAAAATTAGATAAATTCAGAAGCGAAGCGCTAAACGGGGTTAAGTCGATTTTGGCTTCTGGTAAGTTTTTGATGAATATCTCGGAATCTAAGAGAGATAGCAAAATTTCTCTCACAATCTTCTTTATAAACCTTAATTAGCTCTACAAAAAAGATCTTAATAAAATTTTTTCGATCTCTCTTCGATTCCGAGATATTCGTCAAAAACTGGCCAATAGTCAAAATCGACTTAACCCGGTTGACCGCTTTCCAACCGCTCCAATTATCATTAATACATAACTTCAGATTTTCAATGACAGCTAACGAAAATGTTTGCATTTTGTGATTTATTGTAGTCATTTTATTTATTTATTTCTTTCGTTCTTAATGATTAAGAGATGATTAAACGACGTTTTGCCGATTATCATGAATTGTGTTAAACCGGTTTTTGACAATTATTGACTAAATTCTTATTATTTTCATTTTTGATGCATTTAGAGTTCTGCAAGAGCCAAAATAACTCACGGCATAAGAGTCGTGTAATAAAATGACGCCCTGCTGAGAAGATTTAGTTGTCGAACCATTGGAAATTGGAAAAATAAGGGTTTTTCTTTGTTTTCACCCTTACTACATTAATATTGCTGACTTTGACCGCATACGAGGCCAGTGGAGGAGGAGGTGTTTTAACAAAACTATAAATTTCATTTGATTGAGTTATAAGAGTTCATTCTCACGATTGCCTCTTACACCTGCTTACCTGAATGAAGAAAAATATCTGGAAATTCGGGGTTTCGAAAATCGGCAGGTCATACCAAACCTTCAAAGGAAAACGGCGTTCACGGACATCCGTCATATTGTGGTTCAGACAGTTGACTGAAACCAGTATCCAAAATTGGAATTGAGCTGGAGTTGCCTGATGGCCTGATTAGACCAATCAATAACCTGATCAGGCTTAAAATCAGATCAAGATATACTTACAGAGAATGGGCTCGACAATGTAAGCCAACGACGAACTCTGCGCGAGAATTGAGAAAATTGTTAGATAAAACAATGTATCCTTCTCACACTGTCTCAGTATCTCTCTATCATAATCCGTGACAGCATTTCCCCACAATTCATCGCGCGTCAGCTGCAGGAAAGCCGGAAACTGTGGTTTCAATATAATCACGTAAAACTTGGCCATGACGAAGAAATTGGTCAAGACATTGATCATGGAGTAGCACAAGTCCTGGTTTACAAATTCATAAGCTGTATTCATCCCCTAAAAAATTGTTGATTTACGATTCTCTTACATTGAAACTCCCATAGTAACAATTGAAGTAGAAATCTCCAAAGGTGATGGGACAGGCGAGTGTCGGCACGCAGAATGCCCAAAGACGAACCCACTTCAGCAAGTCTTTTCGGGGATCCGATGGTACCGAAAAACCGGTGCAACGTAGGAAGAAGTAGGTCCACTGGATCGTACCACTTTCTTCACGATCTATCTTCAACATCGTGCTTGTTGATTGGAAGAGACAAACTGTACTTCACTTCTTGATGCCCACCAAACTGAATCGTGTATCGACAGCAAGACGACTCACTAACGCTTTAATAATGAACGTTTCGCTTCAGAGCCTCTCCCCTAGTTCACACATAACTCAAATCGCAACTCATCTCTTTTATAATCATGATTCGCGGAGAATTCTCCGCTAGGTAAACCCTGCGGCCACGACGTTTGGGACAAGTTTCGCAAGTGAAGAAAACAGCGATTTGGAGGACTGATCAGACTTCCTTCTTTAATCGCTCCTGACGGTCCGTGTCTTGTAATGAGGTGTAATGAGCGCAATTTTAGGTGATATTCTCTCCCCTACAATTTGCCATCGATCGCATTTCCTAGGTAGCTGTCGTCCGCTCGCGTGACACTAGACGATGGTGAAACGATAATTTCTGGAGGGGTTGCGGGAGTTGGGGTAATGAGACGGCGAGCCGAAAGACACGGGAGGAGTTCTATTTGAATCAGGGGCGATTCGTCCGCGGACGGACATTTCCATACCTCATGCGGATAGATAAATCACAAGTAAGGTACTGTGTTCACAGAATTCTGGTGTCTTGATCGAAATTTTCAAGAGCCTACAGGTCATATCTCATTATATTCGGTGCAAGGAAGATTGACATACAACAAAAGCACATATTCAAATTCCGAAATTGATTAAGATCCACCTCATACAAATGAACGCTATTCCATTTGTTTCTATTCTACACATACTCAATTATCTAGACTCTGTCTCATCAGGGTCAAGAACGAGAACGCTCTGTTGCAAATCTGCAAGGAGATCATTAAAATCATCTTGATTGGAGGAACCATTCAACCTGGAGAGGAAATACTCACCGACGTGAACGTCATTAGGGTGACGGGTGCGAATCCACCGACAGTCAGACTGCAAGCCTTTTGCGATCTGATGATGACAGTTTGCAAATCCTTCACGAGAGCATTCTTCTTGACCTCCGACCTGATCAGGAACCATCGCACGTCGTACGCTGCATTGGCTATCGCGAGACTTGCTTCTGTCAGATCATTGCAGGTTAGTGCAAAGAAGTAAAGTTGGGCTATGCTGCCTCCAGCGTACACGCAGTAGTGGATTCGGGCGAGTGTCTGGCCAACCGTCTTTCGAGATAAAAGAAACGGAAAGATAGGGGATATTTTACACCCATCGCCTGAAAATCTTACCGTCATCAGCTGGAATAACTCTAGACATATCAGCAAACTGAGAAGTACAACAACTCCGAGAATAACATCTCGATAGAGCTCCTTCACTTTTTCTGTGAATGCGATCAACGCCTGGTGTTTCTCAACGCATGTAACGAATCTCGCTCGGATATAACTCTCGTCATTGGACAGTAGCGCAAGACGCTGGTCGTAAATATCGCAGAACGCCTTCTGGAGAATGACGAACTGACCAACGAGTGTTATGTTGATTTGGCAGAGGAAGTTGTCGAAGCAGAAGTAGCAGATGCAGCAGTGATAGCCTGAGAACATCTGGGAAGACATTTTCGTCAGGTGAAGGTCGTATGGATAGTCTTGATAGTTGTCAATACCTCGATAATGTACAAGAACTCATACCATGGCGTCAGCGTGACGGGCAAGTCAATCCACAGTGGGAACGGGAGAATTCTGTCGCTTTCGTTCTTCCCTTGATTTGCTGCAATTGATTATTGATTGCCGTGATTGTCTGTTTAGAATCAGGATCATTGGTAGACGTAATACAAAGGGCTGTTCACATTTGGATTGGAGGACATCATGATGGCAGAATGAAATCTACTTCATGCACTAGCGATTACCATGTGTTTATAATGATTGAAATCAAGAACGATACGTTGATGATGGAGACAAATGAATACCTGATGCAAGTACGGATTATGATGTGAATTCCTCCTTGACTTGATGGCTTACCTATCAAAGGCTTTATGTAATGAATTATGATCGTCAAATGGCACATGAAGACCGCGAATATAATGATCCTAAGACATCTCTTCATGCAATTCCCCATTATCTCAGCACCATAATCGTCATAATGGCAGAACCAGAAGTGTTTCTTGGCATAATGAATTAAATCTAGGAACATTCGCCGCTTCACAGAGAATGCTACAAGCTTGTAAAAACCAAATCCCACGGTAACGACATTGAGACCGCAATAGGTGAATCTCTAAAAAGTATTTCATGAATTTATCATTGAACATAGCTGAACAATTGTGAAAATATGATGCTCTACAAAATATGAAAATCCTGTAAGGAACTTATTTGGTTTCATCTTCGAAGACTCACTCATGGTGTATACACCTCACTCACATCGAAATCCCCGTAACAGTTGTACAAATCATTCGAAGTGACGCAGAATGCGAACAGAAGAGCAACAAGTGAATATGTTACAATAGCATCCATAACTTTTCTCCCGAATTTTGTGTCCTCTGCCCAAAAGCCACAGCATCGTATGAATAAAGCTGTCAATCTTACTGCCCAAGAATCGCCCGGTGAGGACGCCATAGAGTCTGAGGGGCTGCGATTCATCTAAGCAATTTTCCCGACACTTGATTTGAATGACACCTCTGGCAAAATTTTTTCCTCGTAGTGGCTCTCCATCGCGTGATCAGCCACCAGTCTTTTAGCCCCCCACTATAGCATATCGATTGCGCCGGCATTAGGTGGCATCAGATGAGTGTGGAGAAAGCAGTCAGTCTTCCATAAAATGTTGAAAAGGTTGGGTTATACTATAAGGGATCATTGAATCATATCCGGGAGAGGATATAATCCGCTGTTGTACCCGACGTAAGGGGTACTTATAATTATAGGAGGTTGTAGGCTTGAAGTGATAAATCCCACCAGTGGTTTATCGGTATTTAAATATTGATTGATTAATTCAGGTTTATAAACAGTACATTATGATGTAGAAAGTAAACACAAAGTAAAAATATATAAGCACGGAATTACTATATGTAGCTTAAGTATAATAAGACCTACTAAAGCACAATAAAGTGAAATGCAACTTGATATGAATACAAGTTACAGCGGAAAACAGTGAAAATAATAAAGCAGTTAGATAAAGTTACAGCAAGAGGTCAAAATATTGATGAATGAAAAAGAATTCATCCTTGTGGCTCATAATAAAGGGAAAAAAAGCTGAAAAAAGAAAAGTATAAAAGTGAAAAAGCTGGATGAGAAGGAAAAAGGGGGAAAAAGGTGAAAAATTACGGGAGGCGGTTCAGAAATATTAGGTATGTGACTCAACTTTTGCAGATTTTTTCTTCGAGCTTGAAATTATATTTAAAATAGAAATATATTTGCAGTCTTCTCTGGTTTTGAAAGGATTGGCCAAAAGGTTTCAGAACACGGAGCGACAAGTCTATGTAAGTTACATAACCTTTCAGAATAGCAGAGTTTACGATGGCAACTGATAAACAGCACATTCGGCACTGCATTTTATACGAATTCCAACAAAGAAAAAATGCTTCTGAAGCACGGGAATCAATGTGTAGTGTTCTTGGTGCTGACGTTGTATCTTATGAAACGTGTAATTATTGGTACAAACGTTTTAGAAGTGGTGATTTTGATCTGAGTGACCAGCCGTGTTCTGGGCAGCCTCGAAAGTTTACAGATGCGGAATTGCAAGCTCTACTGGATGAAGACTCAACGCAAACGCAACAAGAGCTTGCAGCTCAGTTAGGAGTCAGCTATTTCTAAGCGTTTGCGTCAAATGGGAAAAATCCAAAAACTTGGAAGGTGGGTCCCACATGTATTGACCGAACACAACCTAGGTCAACGTATGAACACGTGACTTTCACTGCTTGTCCGGCAACAAAAAAAGGATTTCTTGTGGAGAATTGTGACGAGTGATGAAAAGTATATTTTTTACGAGAATCCTAAACGTAAAAAGGCGTGGGTAGATCCCGGACAATCTAGTACATCGACACCGAAACAGAACATCCACTTAAAGAAGATTCTCCTGTGTATCCGGTGGGACATGAAGGGCGTGCTGTATTACGAACTCCTGGAAACGGGTCAGATGGTGACTGCGGAACGCTACAGCCGACAACTGAACAAACTGCGCGAAGAACTTGATCGGAAAAGGCCATTTACTGGGTAAGGAAGCAGGCAAGTCATAATGCTGTATGACAATGCTCGACCTCACATTGCTCGTGCGACTCAGAAGACCCTCTTAAACTTGGGATGGGAAGTTCTCCCGCACGCGGCATATTCACCAGACTTGGCCCCATCCGGCTATTACTTGTTCCGGTCCATGCCGCACGCCTTAGTGAATAAAAAGTTTAAAACGCTGGACGATGTGCGTAAATTCGTCGATGACTTTATCGCCTCGAAGCCTGCAAGTTTCTTTCGCGCCGGCATTCGAATGTTACCTGAGTTCGTTGTTCTCTATTTTTTTATATTAAATAAATTTACTGAAAAATCTGTAAAAATTAAGTCACACACCTAATATAAAAGGTGTTACTGAGAAAAGCGCATAGGGCTACTTTCATAAATGAAGTATGAGAGGTTTCCTAATTGATCACTTCAACTGTGGCATCTGACTGATTACAAAGAGTTTACGACTTTTGCGTGTGTCGGAGTCCAATTCAGGTCTACTCTGTGCAGACTCAACAGCTTCTTGAATAATCCATTGATTGTTTACATTTCATCACTTGATCATCACAATCCAGTTACGCTGGCAAGTGTCACGCAGACAATGCCGTATGTCCATATATTCAACAATAACACAATTGATCAAACCTGAGGCATAACAACAACAATGGTGTAGTTATTTTCAGCAAACACTATCCTCATAGATTCAGCATATCCTTGAAAATCAGCTAATGTTTCAATGTACCACCTAAAATTTATTGTGCGATTGTAAACCAGCTACTCTACATTAATATAACAGTTGTTGGGTGTTTCATTATCAATCATTAACGGTCTGTCTCATCAGAGCTAAATAAGAGAACGATGTGTTACAAATCTGCGTGAAAAATTATTATAATTACTTGGATTGGATAGTCCTGTGAGAAAGAATGGTAAGAAGTAGCTTATATTACCGAAGTGAATGTCTGTAATGAAACTGAGGAAAATCCACCCACTGCTAAATTACACGGCTTTTGCGAGCGTCGGATGACAGTAGCAAGATCATGCACTAACTGCTTCTTCCATACTCCGGATCGTAAGAAGAACCATTTCACGTCGTATGCTGCATGGGAAAGCTCCACACTGGCTTCGGCGAGGTCATTGCAGGTCAGCATGAAGAGGAATAGTTGGACAATACCACTGCAAACGTTCACGAAGGAGTGCATTTCAGTGAACAATTCGCCACTGGTCTACCATGGGAGCAATGAATATTGCATGGGATCATTGAATTTACCACGGAATAGGAATGACAGTGTCTTACCGTGATCAGTAGAAATAATTCCAGACAGATCAAAATACTCAGAACAAGGACCATCCCAAGGATAGTGTTTTTGTACAATTCCTTGACTAGCTCTATGAAATTTATAAGGTCCTGGTGCTTGATAATACACTTCTTGAAACGCAGGTATATACAAATTTCATCCATCGGTGTGGCTTTCTCCACCGGGAGTTGAATGACAGGAGAGTTGTACTAAAAATGCGGTGGTAGCAGGATGGAGTTGGGTCTTAGCTAGGTGTTCATCACTTTTGCCGTGTCTTTAGTCCACCACTCCTGTCGTCCAGCGCCCGCTGAGAAAAGGGTCACTGAGGAGTCATCAGAACGATCGCAGATGTTTCTCAGCTCCTCCTGAAGGATCATGAATTGACCGACCAGAGTTATGTTGATTTGACACAAAAAGTTGTCAAAGCAGAAGTAGCAGATGCAGCAGTGATACGCTGAGATCACCTACATGAGCATAAGCAACATATTCCATAATCATAGCTGTAATAGTGGGTAGTGATCAGGAAAGTTGTAATTACCTCCACAACATATAGAATTTCATACCAAGGTGTCATAGTTACCGGCAAGTCTAGCCAGATTTTGAACGGAAGAACTCTGTCACTTTCGTTTTTTCCTTGGTTAACTAGAATAAAAAAGTCCCTTAATCGTTAATTGACGCTTGATCGAACAGTCCGCAATGATTAGATCAATTACCGATCAGTGGCTTTATGTAATAGAAAATAAGGGTCGCATGACACAGAACGACACTAGCTATTATGATTACTCCACTCCTCGTGGCACATTGCTTCATTACTCTAACCCCATAATCATCGTACGAACGATACCAATAATTCTTTTTTGCGTAGCTAATGATGTCCAGAAAGAGTTTTCGTTGAGTTGCGAAAATTATCTGTTTGTAGAGTGCCATTCCCACGATTGATACATTCAGTGCACAGTAAGCCGCTTTCTGAGAAGTAGAGGGACGCATTAATGATTACAGGTTCTAGTACACTGATTATAGATCATCCATTGATTATAGCCAAAATGGACAGCAGGGAAACATGAACCGCTGATCTAGGTGCAGGTTATGAGGTTCATGAGAGTCAAATGAAGGCCATAAACAACGGCAAAATTGTCGAATGGATCGTTATATCCACTTGAAATGAGGAATTTTCGCCAAAGGTGTATGTATTTTTGAACGTACCCCAAAATCTCCGAAACAATGATACAAATCATTAGTAGTAACAGTAAAAGCAAATAACAGAGAACAGATGGAATAACTTGTGACGTGGCTCATGATACGTTGACCAAGCACTGTATCCTCCGCCCAGATCCCGGAACACCTCATGAAAAACGCTGTTAGTCTGACTGCCATAGAGTCGCCAGGTGTCGGAGTCATGACGTTCGCTGAGCGAGGGATGATTGACAGAATTCCAAGTTCATGGTGGCGTACTCTCTTTTTTCTCGCACTTACCTCCTTATATATTCATGAAGCATGCGTGAATGTCCAGAGGTTCCCAAGTACTTCTCCTCTTAGTATTTAATATGTATTGTGGTGCGCATGGGAACCTAGATAGTTTGGAAGAAGGAGTGGAGAGAAATCAAACGGCCGATGTATTGTTGCATTAAAACGATTTATTGCACAGCTGAAAAATTTTTAGTAAAATTTCCTGTACACTTGAAAAATTTCGAAAAATCAAGTGAATTGAGGTAAATTGATTCTTAAATTTCCAGTGACATTCGAAATTATATTTTTCCCTTCTTAATTCACGTTCAATGGCACTTTACTGGAAATTACTAATAAACCATCGAAGGAATGCCAATTGCTTCAACAGTGTAGTCAGTAATTGACGGACATGGGGTGAATATTCTACAACATTTACTTCCGTTCTTACATAACAAGAGAGATTAAAAGTGAGTAGGGGCGCAGTGAGGGGCGCAGTGGCATTAGGCGGGCCAGAAAATACAGAAACAACGTTCACTCGGCGGAAAAATTCGATTTTGGCGAAAGTCGACTTTTCCCCCGGAAAAAAAGCCTAAATATGGCACTTTGGCTCCGGGTGACAAAAAAAAATTTTTTTATTTCTGCATTTGCGGGGCAAGTGAGGGGCGCAGTGGCATTAGGCGGGCCAGAAAATACAGAATCAACGTTCACTCGGCGGAAAAAGTCGATTTTGGTGAAAGTCGACTTTCCCCTGGAAAAAAAGCCTAAATATGGCACTTTGGCTCCGGGTGACAAAAAAAACATTTTTTATTTCTGCATTTCTGGGGCAGTGAGGGGCGCAGTGGCATTAGGCAGGCCAGAAAATACAGAGTCAACGTTCACTCGGCGGAAAAATTCGATTTTGGCGAAAGTCGACTTTTCCCCCGAAAAAAGCCTAAATATGGCACTTTGGCTCCGGGTGAAAAAAATTTTTTTTTCATTTCTGCATTTCTGGGGCAAGTGAGGGGTGCAGTGGTATTAGGCGGGCCAGAAAATACAGAAACAACGTTTACTCGGCGGAAAAATTCGATTTTGGTGAAAGTCGACTTTCCCCCCGGAAAAACGGAAAATCTGACCCTTTGAAAATCTGAAAAAAAAATTTTTTCAGTTTTCACTTTTTCCACATACTTTTGAGAGTTCTGAATAGCCCGTCGCTTAAATAGTTGCAATCAACGTTCACTCGGCTAAAAAATTCGATTTTGGCGAAAGTCGACTTTCCCCCTGGAAAAATAAAATCTGACCCTTTGGCTCCGGGTGAAACAAAAAAATTTATTTCGACATTTGTCGCGCCTCCGGGGGTTTCATTGGAATCAGAATCGTTAGAAAATACAGAATCAACCTTCACTTGGCGAAAAAATTCAATTTAGGCGAAAATCGACTTTCACCCTGACCCTTGACCCATGTGAAAATGAACAATTTTTTTCGTCTTTTCTGTCACCTCCGAGGGTTTCATTGGTATCAGGGGGTCAATAAATACAGAATCAACGTTCACTATTTTTTATTTAAACACCGCCTGCAAACGGGGAGATGAGGGGGGCTAAAATATATTCTGCAACCCTGTCTCCTCGTTGGCTACAAATTTCAACCCTCCGCATACATGCCTTCCCCTTCACCCCCTCGTAAAATCCCTTATTCCACAGAGGAAAGTGTCGACGCAAAGGAAGCAGATGGCGCAGTAAAAGCCTAAAGCAAACTTAATGCACAAATACTGCGTGAATTCCGTTTCACGCACCATGATGTTCACCATGATTACCCATTTATCTTACCTGTACTACGTACAGTATTTCAAAGCAGGGGGTTACCGATATCGGTATGAAACTGAAGTGCAGTTTGACCGGAAGATTTCTGTCAGTCTTATCTGTCGCTGAAATGTAAAATCAGTGAAATTCTTCAGACCAAGTTTCGATTATCAGAAATATGTCACTGATTTTCAGTGATTCATTTTTAATTCTGGGAATCCATCGCGAATTTTCAGTGATGGAAATCACTGATGCTCCGTGTTATTAAAGTCAGTGGCCAGCTTGTGTGATAAATTTCTAATAATCAGTAACAAGTTCCTGAATGTCATGTTTATTCCACAGAGAAAAATATCGAAGCAGAGGAATGCGGATGGCGCAGTAAAAGGCTGATGAAAACTTAATGCACAAATTCCGGGTGAATTCCGTTTCACTCACCGTGATGTTTGTCATGATTACCCATTTCTCTGATCTGCATTATGTACAGTATTTCATACCAGGGGGTTGTAGATATCGGTATGAAATTGAAGTGCAGATGGACTGGAAGATTTCTCTTAGAATTAAGCCTCGTTTGGTCCGCTGAAATATCATATCCATTCAATAATGTAGCCCCATATCTAATTATTAGAGACCCATCAACTGTTTTCAGTGATGGATTTCAAACAATCAGTGACAATCTCCTGAAAATTTGCTCATTCTCTCTCACTCTCTGATGTTCCCGACTTACAGGATCCACATACCTATCAGAGGTGTCACTATAAACGTCAACAATGTCATATTACACATGAAAACAATGTATATAACCATGTAAGTACATTTTGTGAAGCACTCATTCATGACCCTGCCAGCTTCTCCGTCATACGTTTTGTACCAAAATTTCTTCTTAGCGTATGAAATTTAATCTAGAAATCTCTCTCGACGGGGTATGAGAACAGCGAGCTTGTACGAAGACATTCCGGCTATTGAAAATGTGAGAAATCCATTGGCCATTTGCTGGGGACGAAGTTATCTGTCTAAATCTTGCAAGAAATAGTTCTATTACTTCACAGCAGAAAAGAATGTCTAAATTTCACACACCTTTGGTAGACATTTTACAGACACTAAAAAACGTCTGAATAAAATTAAAATTTGTCAGAATTTCAAACGAACAGGTGCCTAAGCATCTTAATTGATGTTTGAAATTTAGATAAATTTTCATTCTATTTAGATGTCGTTTAGTGTCTGAAAAATGCCAAAAGGCATTTTTTCATCACGCTGTGATGAAAAGTGAACTTTTCGGCACGCTCCGCGTGCCTAAAAGTCCAATTTCCGCTACATTGTGATGAAAAATATTGTTCGTAACTCGTGAAAAAATGTTTTTTGCACTCGTTACGAAATATACTATTCAGACACTAAAAGGCACAAAAGGTGTGTGAAGTTCAAGCATTTATTTATGCTGTGTTCGATGGTTGCGTTTCTCACGTCGTAATTGCTGTGACAGTAATAAATGTCGATGAGCACCATGTAAACCATGCTGAGATTTGCGACAATGGGAAAAACAGTAGCGAATTTCAGGATTCTTTTTCCGGTAGGTGTACTCGATGTCCAGAAGCCAGCGACTTTCATGAAAAATGCTATCAGTCTTATTGATAAAGTGTCATCCAGAGACGCTGGCATGATCGGGCAAATAAGTGGTAAAAATTATGAGAACAAATATTCCAGACTATTCACGAAATCATCACGAGCATCTCACCTTTTTGATGCCTAACGAAAAGCACAATGAATTCAATGATTCATTGTTCACACATTGTAGACCGATGACCAAGACACTGTGAGAAGTGCTACCCGAGTCGAATAATTGGACCTGACAAATTCTACTTAGGTCTCTCCGTTCAGAACTGGATAGGTCTTGGGAAGCCTCTTCCCAAGTGCTTCCGAGACCTTTCTACCTCTGGTTATGTCCCACTTCAGCACTTGTTAGGTGTAAGCAGGACTTGCATTCAGACTTTCCAAATCCTTGCCGGTCCCCGTAATTCTATGGGCCTATATTAAATCTGCGTTCATATCCCTATTTACTCATGCGTTATTGAAATAAAAAAT